GAGGCATTTGTCAAAATATCTTTTAATCTGTTGCTTTGCCAAGACTCAGCATTCAAGACAGAGGTGACATTAGCTCGATAAGAATTATTCTTTTCTCTTACGTTATTGTCACACAGTTCCTGCTTCACCGCAAGCACATGGGAAGAAGCTCTGCTATTCACCGGTGCAGAGTCTTCCAAACCTCCACTCACACTCTGAGCAGGACTGCGAACCCCATTTGGAACCTCGAGAGTATTTTCAGATGTCAAACTTGATTGAGAAATTTTCTCAGAAGGGACGTTCCTTTGTGATGCGAAGCTCATGGTTTTTTCTGGAAATTTGATGCTCAAGCCGATGAAGAACAAAACCTAAACCCCCAAATCAATTTTTGTTTTAAAAAAAAGACAAAAACGTTGTTGTTGCGTTCTTGTAAAATTATGATACTAGTAAACGCTATTATGGTTAAAAACGGTTTAGACATCATAAATCCTAAATTGATTAGATATGTAGTTATATGCACCAAAAAAATAATTTGTGTAGTTTTATGAAGGAAATGGTTTTTGATGTTGATATTTTAAGGGACACAAAGTTTGTGTAGGAAAGATGAGAATGCTACAAGTAGAGGGGGAAAAAAACTGCCAACCCGTTTTTCTATTTGTCAAAAGTAGAAAAAGCAAACATCATTCCTAGATTCCTAGTTAAGCTTTTGATCAGCAAAAACAAAATATGACAAAACAATTGGGTTTGAATTACATTCTGACATTCGTCAAGAAATCAAACAAAAAAAAGACAAAAGGCTTTTGTGAAGAATGCAGAGAAGTTTTAACATAGCTACCTAAAACTTTTACCAATCCACCCACAGCATATATCACTAACCACAACGAATTCAAAGTATCATAGCAATCATGTCACCAAACAAAAAAGAAACTAAATTAGCCCCATCTGTTTGAGAGAGAAGATATACAAGAGTTTAGTTCTTTACTTCATCTTCTGTTAGGAGAGTCTTAACGATGTTATTAACCATACCTGGAGCGAAAGGGAACAAATGCCCTGCTCCAGGGATCTCATGGTAATGGATCCATGGCAGCTTCTGTGCAATGTAACGTTGCAGAGTCACAGGGACTAACGCATCATCATCTCCATGCCACAAGTGCACTGATCCCTCCTTGTTCGGAAACAGATTCTCGATTTCCATTGGATCGAATTCCCAAGTTCCAAATCCGACAATCATGTCACGGAGCAACGTCTCGTGTGTTCCTTGTTGCCTTATTTGTGCCTGCATAGACACTTGGATTTGGTAAGAATGCAAATAGGTGAAGTAGAAGAAGAAGTGATGATGAGTTGTTATATATACCTCATGTTGCTTCCTTGCACCACCGAGCTTAAACATGATCTCTTTGTCTGCTTTTGAAAGTATACCGAGGTTTCTGGCCACAACACTTGATCCAGAGAACCACGTCTGTGAGTTCCACCAATGAGTAAGCCAAGGAGCATAGTGTGCAACACGAACCGCCCATTGGTCATTTCTCGCTTGTTGGTAATAAGCTTCGGTTGATAACTCTGATGGGAAGTTCTTCCACCAATAGTTCACCACTGGAGCAACAAGTGTTACTCCAGCCAACCTAAAGAATCAAACAGAGTAATACACACACAAATCAAAATCATTCGCTTACAGAGTACTATGTGATCATTTAACAATTTAAGTTCTGAAAGTGATACCTGTGAGGAATGTATTTAAGGCATGCCCATGTCGCTTGTCCTCCCATCGAGTACCCGATGACATAGAATTTGGATCCAAGACTCAGCTGATCAGCAAGCTCTTCTACGTCCAAAGCCAAGCTTTTTGGAGTACGGTTTGGGTCTGGATCACTCTCTCCATAACCAGGTCTATCAAATGAAACCATATACACACCTTTTACATCCTACAACATTAATATCATAAGTTTTACATCTTTAATCAGGTAGCAACTAGTAATGTTTGGCATAAGAACGTCAAAACAAGTACCGGTGATAGCAGAGCTGAGAAAGCATTATCGTGCCTGCAGCTATCAGATCCATGGATGACGACGATTTTATAGGTAGCTTCATCTCTGGGAACTCCATACTCTTTGTATGCCAAATGCCTCCCGTCTCTCAGCTTAATCCTTGGTGCTGTGATGGTTGGACCATCAGGAGAGCCACATAGCTTTGGAGGAGGAGGCTGGATCGCCTTATAAGTCGAAGCAGCTATACAGATAGAGAACACCAACACCAACTTCTGGAGAACACCTGTAAAATCAGATTCAGACAAACAGAGGTTGTTGTCCTGTCTCTAAAATGAATCTTCAAGGGCAAGAAACAAATATGTGATGACTTTTAAGACCAAACTCATCACTAATTCACTCATATGTGCTTGCTACACTGTTAATATTCCTTTCCTAGAAACAGAAACTAATGTGATTGAAGCCATCATTAAATGTGGGGTTTTGTCTAAATTTCAACAATCTAATCATCATTTCATTTCATTTCACATGCATCAGTATGAACCTCTTTCTTGAAATTTTTATACTTTACCTCTTTTAGAACAAAAATTCAAGAATCTAAATACTGAAATTTGGAGAAAACTTTCTTGATGGGTTTTTTTTCTTTCTTTGTGAACAAAAGAAAAAGAAACTTCAAAATCTAAAAGGCGAAATTGAAATGGAAGAGAGAAAAGAAAAATCAAACCTGAGGAAGGAGACCTGGGAGGATCTGTCGATCCAGTGGCCATTGCCAAGAAAGAGAGAGGCACAGAGAGAAAGAGAGAAGTAGCTGATAAAGTGAGAGAAGAGATCAAGTTGGTCTAGCTAACGCATGTTTAGATTTTATCTTAAAAACTCTAAAGACTAAAAGGGGTTACTTGCTGCAACTTTACAAGTTTGGTCGTTTCTTGTTTGTTTGTGTAAGCCAATGTAGTAGGAGTGAGATGTGAATACCCTTAAGCCACGTAATCCGTTGATTAAACTACAATTAAATTAAAAAAATATTTACCATCACGCCACCAAAACTTTCGTAAAATAGAACATTTAGACCCGAAATAAACTGAAATAGTAAAAATTAAATAAAAATGCAAAGTTTGTAAAACAAAAGCATGTACTCGTTACAAAAATAATACTGTGTGTAGATATTTTTGGTAGGTACATATTTGATTCGTGTTAGGTGTACCTTCTCCTCTATAAAAACCTCTTTTATAGTAAACAATAAATAAAATTTTGTTATTAATTTTTGAAGTACCCTTTTAAAGTTTTAACAATGATGTCGTTGACTCAGTCAATAGTTTTATTAGGAATCGAGGTCGAACAGTTGTTTGAAATTATTAGGAATTCGGATTCAAACAAATTATTTTTAGCCATGGTCTTGATGATTTTAATATGTATTTTACGAATTATGTAGAGCAAAGCTTTAGCAACATAGTCGAGTTCCTTATTTTTATGTTTTAATCTCTAAATCACAAAAAAAGTCGTATTTATAAATTTTTAAGTTCAAGTGGTGTTATTATAGTTATATAGTGAAAATCGTAGACTCGTTTTTAGTGACTACTACTCGTAATTGCCACAAAATGCACAACGCCGAAGTGTGAGAAGAGTGAAAATATCATTGTGCTCCTAACACATAATTAGGGAAATATACTTTGCTCATTTATAAACAAGAACTAATAAATAAGCATCATTTATGACAGTTGCTTGCTCATTAAAAACTACATACAGCGACCCGTTGCACCGGAAACATTTATGTAGTATTGATACAACATTCATTAATTCTCTCAATCTCTCACGTCACGAGTCTACCAAATTGACATATAATTTTTCTTGTTTTGGAATTTTCTTCCAAGTCCCAAAAATTCCCAACAAAGATAGTTGTAGATTCGTTGAGGACCGTTCCACTTACCCATCTTCTCCTCCAGTTACTACACCCTTTATATATTAAGCTTAAACCACAACGATTGCTAAACCGGAAATTAATCGGAATCATCAACATGACACGTCGTGCTGGTTTGTTAAACTGGGGAACAGCAGAAGAAGATGAAGAGAAACAAGAAATGAACGAACGTAAAAGCGACGGCGATGAAGGTAGTGAAGAAGACGGTGAAGATGATCTGTTCGAGATAAACTTGGAGGCTGTGCATGCTCTGACGTCGTCTCCATCGTATGATTGGAAGAGATTTCCGGTAAGGACAGGAAGCGTTTTACTGGCTAACTGTCTGTTACCAGCTGCAGATATCTCCAGTGCAGTACCGGCAACGTCAAAGGCTTGGAATGATTTGGTTTGGCTTAGAGGCATTCTTTATGTTGAAAAACTAGGTCTTGATACTAAAGACGCTTAACTAGACAAGTTATGGTGCTGTGCCGCCAAAATCTAGTGATGGAGAGGTAATGTTGTTGTCTATACATGGATGTGTTCAGACTAGTGTTTAATGCAAAACATTGTAAAGGATATAAACGAAGTTTGGTTTCAGTCGAGTCTTAAGATCGTATTTCAAAGTGTTAGGGGTACTCAAGACATTGGGCATGCCTTAACTGCATCCATCACATTTATTTTTCTACATTTGTTTGTTTTATGTTAATAAGGTATCATGCATGAACTGGAGCACAAAAAAGTAGTTAGTCCCCAGGATCAATTACTCAAGGTAAAACTGGCAAGGAATACTCACTCTCAATGGACATCACTGATAATTTGTTCTTTACACACTACATTACCAAACGTTAGAAAAGGAGCCCTACAACATTCAAGTAAGATATCCTCAATTTAAAAGCAAATTCCATCTAGATGAATGCCTTAGATGGAGACAGCTCTTTTTTATTTTCTGTGGCAAACGCTATCAACAGAAGTTAGGGCAGTTCTAGCTAGGAATGACGGTGGACGAGTAAATTGAAGCCAAGAGCACATGTCACTACTTCTCTCTCGGGGAACAGACCAATACCAAAGTAACTGCTAGATGCTTATTAGTATTTCATTCCACTGTCTTAGTTCCAATCGGCCAAAATCTAAACATAATTTACTCCACCACAGTTAAAGCAAATCCTAACAGTGTCAACCATTCCTATAACTTGACACCTAGAAGACTAATCCGAGATACATCTTCATAACTTCAAATGGCAAATTAAGCTCATATTTTATAAGCTGTTCTGCATTAGTTCAGCGCAAGTAATCTCCCAACAAGCTGCTATGTCACAAGACTGTCTAAGAGAACAAACATATCCATGAATTGTATAAATAATACTTAAGCAAAAACCTCTAAGATTAAGTGACGGGTACAAAACTTTGAATCAAATTTCATAAACATCTTTCTAAATTTATCTCAAAAAAGCCTTTACACCTTCGTAGCTATTCATTTCCCACCCAATTCAAATCTCACATCAAAGAACTTATATTGTAGCAAATTTTTTTTTGCTACTCGCTAATGGCATCGGAAGATTCACCAAACTATCAATAATTCGAAAACCATAACAAAGAGGAAATTAAAATATAACAAGAAGGGAAAAGAGTGTATAGATCAAGAAGCAAGCGTACGCGATCAAGCCACGATGCTCTTCTCCACCATCGGCGAGTGATACCACCAAAGTAGAACAAGCCCTGGTTGACCACAAAACAAACACCGCCGCAAGCACGAACCTAACCGGCCCAGCTCCCTGCGGTACGAACAATGACACCGCAGATAAAACCACCACCGGAAGCAAACAGTATCCAACCAGGCTCGTACACGTATGGAGATTAAGATTCCCATTGCGACCAGCAAGCATATTGAAGACGACGTATAGGAAGATAGAGGAGACGACGATCCATCCAAGTATAACACCGAACTGGATCTTACCAGCTAACAGCTGAAACAGGCAAAGCGCAAGGTATAGAAAGATCGGACCAGATAGATCTGAATCCTTATGAACAGCTTGATTAATCCGAAAAGGATTGAGAATCGATCTAGTCTTCTTCCAGATTTGATCTGGATGTATACCGAGCTCGTCAAGCAAAGGCTCCTCATCTTCAAACGAAGCTGAACCACCACCAAAAGACGAAGAGGAAGCGATTGTGCCGCCGAACGATCCGGCTGGTGCAGCGGAGGACGCGGCTGCCGATCCCATATCGAACGACATGAACGGGATGGCGGAAGAAGAAGGACGCGGCGGTTGAAACGGAGCAGCCTGGAATCTTCTTTGCTGGACATTAGGACCGCCTGAAGATCCACCGGTGGGGAAAACTACAGGTGGAACTGCGAAATCCTTCGTCATCTTCTTCAAATCGAGATCTCCAAAATTAGTAACGAGATTCGAAACTAGGGTTGCACGATTTGGATCAACGAGAGAAAATTTTAACCCCAATTTTCCCGAGAAACTTCTCTTTTACTTTTCTCTCTTTTTTTTTTTCTTGATAGTGAAGCGTACAGGACAGCTTTAGAAGAAGGCGCGCGAGGGTAATTTTGTCAATCTATATAGTTTTATGACGAGATATAAGTTATAACCACTAGGCTTCTTCGGAATTGGCTTGTTGACGTATATCTACTATATGGTATTACCATATTATCCTCTCATATAATCTCAAGTAATTCTCGAAAGGCCCAATGGGTCTCATCGGCCCAGTAAACCGTCGGTATTATTCGATAACGTGGCACGGTGTAATTGGCTCGAAGACTAGAAAACCGCCGGACTAAGATTCAACCAGCGGTGACTTCAACACTTTAGACGGTGGATTTCTTCGCCGGAGCTTCCGCGAGCTTCTTCATTCCCGTTTAATATGGCCGTTGATGGAGAGAGTGTCGTCTCGATGCCGATGGCGGTGGCTGCCTGCGTCGCTATGGCAGTGTCCTACGTTTTGATTCTTTATGCTCCCACCGTGATTCTCCGTCTCCCGGCGGCTTCTTCTTACTTCGAGTTTATGATTCGGAGATTCATCTGCGCGGCTATTTCTACTGTAGTGTCTCTCGTCTTCACAGCTTTTGTACTCCCGGTAAGCTTCCTCCTCTGAGTCCCATTTCTCGATTTGAAGTTAATTCTCCGTTGATCTGTAATCGAATTAAGTTTCAAGTCATGCCATTTCTTTCTTATTGACAGTTTCTGTGTAATCGATGGAGAAAAGATGAAATCTAAATGTATTTGGTTGATGTGATAATTCAGGAAACTCAATAAAAAAAAGTGAAATAATTTTATGTATGTGCTAATGGCTCACATGATTTGTCATTTAGAATGTTACACCAGAAGATTCATGACTATGATGTGTTTGGTACAGTGCAGCATTGGTTACAAGTATCGCTGAAACTTGTCTTGCTTTTTTTCTTGAGTAATGTTAGATAAAAAGCTGGGAGGCCTCTCCTATACTTGGTGTTTATGGAATAAGGACTGATCATCTGGTATGTAATTTCTTAGTCTTCAATGTCTTTAGTACATTGGTAATAGTTTAAAAAGACGGTTTGCTTGTTACACTTTCCATCTTATAAGGTTTTGTCTTGTGATATGGAACAGTGGCAAGGAGTAGTGTATCCTCTTCTATTGACCTCTCTCATTTATGCCGGATCTTTAGTCTTGAATTTGTTATTGCTCCTGGAATTATGGAAGGAGACAGGTGGAGGATGTTGCTCCTTTAATAACATCAAAAGCTTTTTCCAAACAGTACTGACAGGTGCTTCTAATGTTTCCGTTTGGCGTAATTTTGTCGTGGTAATCATCTGTTCGCTATCACTTTTAGCCTATCTTTCAATTCTGTATTGAAGCTGCATCAGACATAGTTTGCTAATTATCTGAGGACTATTTGCATCAGTTTGGTTTATCATGTAACACCTTTTTCCTACTTTTTGTTAGTATATGTAAGTGCTAAATATTATGGTCTGTTAAGAGACTTAGAGCTGGTATTTCTTGTGGTTTGCAGGCACCGGTAACCGAGGAGCTGGTTTTCCGAGCCTGTATGATACCTTTGCTTCTGTGTGCTGGATTTAGGATTTACAGTGCCATCTTTCTCTGCCCAATTCTCTTTAGCTTGGGTTTGTTTCCTTGTTTCTATATGAATGACAGTTTACAGCCCGAGTGAGATCAAAATTTTTGGATTTGTCTGACTTTTTGTATGTTCCTGTGCAGCCCACTTAAACCATTTTAGAGAGATGTACATCAGACATAACCGCAGCTATCTCAGGGCTTCACTGATTGTTGGTAAGTCCAACTTAATCTTTGCCATCCCTAGATCATAATATAATAATGCTTGTTAGTAAGTCATGAGCTTCACTTGTCCTTTGATCAGGTCTTCAGCTTGGTTACACAGTCATTTTTGGTGCATATGCATCGTTCCTCTTCATCAGAACCGGTACACTCCTCGCATTATATAACTTACTTGTAAAGCCCTTGTAATGTTGGCCTTGATGATGATGTCTCCTGCATTGCGTAATATTGACAGGACATCTCGCTGCTCCTTTATTTGCTCATATATTCTGCAACTACATGGGATTGCCTGTGCTATACGCACAAGGAAAAGGTAAGACATATATTTCAAGGCTGTATAACAAATGCAAATACAGAAGAATAAGCTAAAGATGGTCATGGTTCTTCTCTCAGGTGTGGTGAGTGTGGCGTTCGTAGGCGGTGTGGTTGGGTTCGTCTCACTTCTCTTTCCTTTAACAAAGCCTCTCATGTACAACGACAGAACCAACGATTGCCCGTGTTGGTCTGGCTATTGTTTGTGGAATTGAACACATCTCCGAGTATATGTTTACAGATTTCCGCTGATCATGCCTCAGAATCTATTTGGATACAGTACTTAAATCCTGGTCTTTTACTGCAAGCTAATGTGTCTTGATAGTGTATGACTGTATGTAGTTTTACCCTTGTAAATATTGACTTCAATCCTAGAGAGACAGGAAGAAGGATGATTTACATCACAAATCTAACATAAAGGTCTTAGACTACATTGTCCATTTTGGATAAGCCAAAAGTTCATATAAATTATTATAGAAAAATAGAGAAACAATGATTAGAAATTGAAGAGAAGTCCATAACCTTACATCAGAGAGATTCAGAAGATGATGTCTTGCATGATCTTCCAAAGAGATGTTCTCCTAAACACTTTTCTCGTATCTTCTGAGTATGCTTATGGACCTTATCACTTCTTTATCCATATTTTTTTTTTTTGGCAATGAAAAGAACACAACTGCTTTATATTTCTACAATAGTATTAATACTCATTACTTTGAAAATGAATCAGGTTGTTGAGGTTATGAAACTCTAAATTAACAAACATACACACACATTCAAAATCTTATTGCTACCCTTTAACAATTTGTTATATCAAGACCATGTAATATATTATATAATAAAGGGATAAAAAGAAGATACTGGTTGGTTGGTTGTTAAAGAGAAGAGCAGAGAAGAAGGTACAATGAAGTAGTCCCAGAATCCACCCATGTCCTAAACAACCAAACCCCACATGATATATATAAAAAAAAACTAATTAACATATAAATGGAAACAAAAGTAAAAATATCCCCTTTAGTCCCTGAGAGAAGAAGATTGGTCAGAGAGAGAGAGAGAGCACACAACGCCTTCTCTGTCCCTTTTCTAGTAAATCAGGAGGAAGATACGAACCCAACCCAAATATTTTATAAAAAAAAAAAAAAAAAAAAACTAGTTCGAAATAAAATTAATAATACTACTACTACTACTACCACTAACCAACTATTACATTACACCAGTAAAAAGAAAATGAAAATGATGGGTACTACGTTCTTTCTTCTAGTTAACCAAATCCAAATCTTGTCCTAAATAGAGTTGTTGTTGTTGTTGTTTCCATGATGATTAATGTTCAGAAGCAGCAGAGCTTGATGATGAAGAGAGGTTGTTGTTGTTGTTGTTGTTGCTTCCTTGGTTTGATGATCCATTAGAGTTCTTGGTTTTGGAGAGCTTCTGTTTGAGTTCGAAGAGGAGTTGTTGGTTCTCTTGATTCAGAATCTGAGCTTTCTTCCTCAACCTCTCGTTCTCCTTTATTATATAACAGTTTTGCAAGTAGAGCTTCGAGTTTAGCCTCTCCATCTCTCTCGACAAAAACCTGGTTCTCTGAATAACAAAGTGAGAGATTATGTTAAAAAGACAAGAACAAGGAAGAAGAAGAGAGGTTTTATGAAAGCATTGTGTTATGATTAATATAGTTGCGGTTAAAATCATTGCAACACCCACATGGGTTGTGCAGCTTCACACGTTTAATGAGGAATTTACACTAAGCAAAAATCATGACCGCATTTATTTCGTTTTCTACCAAAATTGTTAATTTTTTTTTTAATTTTTTTTTGTCTTTAAAGAAAACAAAATCAATGACCAAACAGAGGAACAATCATGCTTCTTCTTTTCTTTTATTTTGGTTGCTAGAGGGATAGAAAAAGAAAGAAGAAGGTAAAGCCACACCACAACAAGAATGAAAACAAAAACAAAGTAATGATGATGCAGTATATATAATGATGAAAATTTCAAAACAAAAAAAACACCAAAACAGAGCCAAAAAAAAAAACAGAACCAAAGGATCTTTATCGTAAAATAAAGAGAAGAAGAAAAGAGTTTTTGAAAACAGAAAATATAAAGAAAAAAGAAGAGAAACAAATAGGGTTTGATTCGGTTGCCTTTGTCTTAAAGAAAAGGATAAAGCTTTGAAGATTTTCCAAAAAAAAAGAAATTAAAAGTTTGTTATAAAGAAAGAAGCTAAGAAGAGTTGGGGTAGTTATGGTAAATGATATTCACGTTGCTTGTACGTAAGGGGAGACATGTGTATAGCGAGGGAGAGAAAGAGAGAGATTTACCTTTAGGGGAAGAAGAGACGACTTGAGAAGAACCGAAGCGAAGTGAGTTTACGTTGTTGTTGTAACTTGTAAGGGAGAGAGAGAGTATATGTATTGTATGGAAGGTAGAGGGACAAAGAGAACAAAACGAAGATAGTGTCTCTTTATATAGAACTCCCTATAAAGCTAGAGAGAGAGAAGTGAGTGAAAGGGGACATGCTTCTCTCTCCTGACACAACAATCATGCTTTGTGTTGTGTTTTTGCTTAGATGGCGGCCGATTTCGCAGCTCCAATCTTTTATTTTCCTTTTCTTTCTTTTTGTAATTCTTTTTTTTTTTTGCTTTTATAATGATAATAATGATTTGTGAGGGAAAGAAGAAGAAAAAAAGATTTGTGTTGCGTCATGTGATGATGTGAATGATGATCGTAAGAGAAGGGAAGATAGGTAAAGATCGAAGAACATTAGAGGGAAAGAAATGCTTGAGGTGGTTTTTGTGTTTGAGATTTATTTTCACAATTTGGTTTGGTGTATGTATGAGATATGCTGTTCTTTCTCTTTCGACCATGTTCATTTCCGACCCTGCTAAATAAATAATCATTCACGCTATCGTTTGATATCACAAAACCAAAAATGTATAAATGTCGAAAGGCTGAACTGATTACTAGAACTCCAAATTAATAACATCATGGTATAGTAATTACTAATGGCTGAAAGATTCACTTTGGGATTAGGATACTCAAATCCGAGTTTTTTCATACTCCGATTTCAGTCGTGATTGGTTATTGTGTACATTTTGAGTGATAAAATCCCGAGAGAAAAAAAAAAGAATCTGAATTTTCACAAAATTCGATAGTTAGTCTAAATTTTGGTTCGAGATTAATTACCCACTTAAAAAAACTTTTAAAGTATGTACACTCTAGTATATAATCTTGTAATTTTGTTAATCTCCGTCATGTGTTACCATATGGATTCAAATCTTTAACTGCATGTTTTGTAGGGGGCAAAAAGAACCAAAAGCAAGATGACATCTACACGAAAATGGAAGTCATAATGTTGTTGGTAAAAAAAAAAACACTAAAGTGTTACTACTAGGTACACTGAAGGCAGAGGTAAATACATAGACCGGCTTGGGTAAATAGTTAAAGATAGATAGGAGGAGTGGAGAGGGGGTAAAATTTTGTAGTAAGGAAAGGGCAGAGATGTAATAATAATAAAAGAGGGTGAAAACGAGTTATTGAGTGAAAATGATGATGAAAGGGGAGGAGGAAGAGGAGGAGGAGGGCTCTTCTATATAGGGAGTCGTCGTCTCCCCCAAAGATTCGCAATGATGGTTTGGGATTGGTTCGAACCTTATATCATCATCATCATCATACTCATTCATTATTATCTCAATTTCAATTTCATTTTGGACCATTTTCATTGCTCTCTTTACTCCCTTTCATTTCCCGGTTTGGTCTATATTGGTTTAGTCAACACTACTCATCATCAGCCATAATAACAACAACACATTCTCGAAGGAAGGTGAGTGAGTGAGTGAGTGAGTATATGAGTTCGTGTCCTGTTTTCTTCTCTTCATGACCCTTTTCTTTCTTTCTTTTTCTTTTTCCTTTCATCATCTCTTAATTTGTATAAAGATCGAAATAATTAAAATGATAAACCAAAAGAAGAGAGAAATTATGAAGAGGAAAGTTTTGGGACCCCAAAGAAAATTTTATCAATAAAAACTCTCGAATGGGTTATGTTATGAGTGTGCATGCCACATCGTAAACATCATAGTTTACAAGGTGGATTAGTTTTTAAAAATGTGTATGGTCAAATCTTCATCATATAGCTTCCCTAACCATATATATCATCTCTCGTGGACCTCGTTTGGTTGCAATGATACTAATACAAATTATTGCACTTTCACGTTTATAATTACTCTCTCTCTCTCTCTCTCTCTTTATCATAAATCTTGTGATTTCATTTTGGCGTTTATTATTTTATTCACGGGATAAATCGTATTAATGCATGTTTTCTGAACAGTGAATATTGTGTTATTTCCCTGTTAACTTTTTTTTTTTTTCCTTTTGTGCTAAGCATTGAAAGGCTTTAAAAATTCAAAACATAAGTTCGAACTCATAATTATTATGTGTGTCTTGAAATGGAACTAGAAATAAATAGACAAATGGAAGCAAATACACATAAGTAGTGGTTGCACTACTTGCTTACATCAAAGGCAATGATAATTAATAAGTAGGGAGGTATGTGTGAGTCATCCAAATGGTTTGCTTCACTTCATTTTTTCTTCATCTCTCCGTTTCTTGCGGGTGTGAAATAATTATGATTAGCCTTAAAAACTATCTATTGTCCTTTAAAATGTTTCTTCTCTATTCCCTTTATCCTTTACAAGTCATCTTCTTAACAGTTCGGGTGATTGTAATGTGACATAACCAAAAAAAGGTTCAACAAACACTTATGTTTTGATTATTTGTCATGTTAACATTTTGTGCTACATTAGTTTGTTGCATGTGTAGGACATGAAAAAAAAAGAAAATGTATGGTCTCTATGGTATGTAAAAATCGTGTGAGTATAAAACTATTTCCCACTTTTAATGATTGTAATTTGTCATCATTTCGTTCCTTTAGAACTTTATTTCTTTTATATGTTTTGGGTCTCCATAAGGTAAAGTGCGTCCATTTGCATTGCATGGAAACATTATCATAACATCTTCTATTTTTAAAAGATAACACACAAAACGAATATTTAATAAAGATTTTGTGGGGTGGAGCATTATAATGATATACATAGGTCTGATGTATATTAATTAAGAGATACAGAGGGAGGGCTCTTTAGCCTCTTTTTGCAGGTGAGACATATACACCACGAAGATAAATTTATAACGCAAACTAATTATGAGAATCTATTTATACACTTTCTATTTGTTTCAATATCTAAATACTTACATAATTTAAATATATAGAGTTATATGATTTTCTATTTGTTTTTGCTTGAGTTAGAACTTTCTTATTCCTTTTTGTTTTGCAATTCCTATTTGGTATGACAGAACAACAATGTTTTTTCTAATAATCTCTACTTTAATGAAGTTTATAAACTTGTGACACCTTCATCTAATCAATTGTTTCAGGAATTTGTAGTGCTTGTAACTAGCCACGTCCACTCAAGTTCATAAAAAATAAAAAATAAAAAAAATTGAATATTCAAGCATTGCGCTTTCTCCCTGCATTTTGGGGTTCCACTTTGTTTTGTTTTGTCTACACAATATATTTGGTTACTGATATTTAATTTCATAAAAGGCGAAAAAAAGTTATACAAAATATGAGTTTAAAATAGAAAAAGGAAGAATATAAAGATGAAGCGTATCGTGTTACCTTTGCTCTCTGGGTGTTACACTATCGTGCAAAATTGTATCTTTATGCACATGCGCTACTTTATGTTAATTTATATCTATAAACCATTAGGTGTAACAACTAACAAATCCATCTTTGTTTCCATATCATATGGATTCATGGATTTGTTCCACAATGCATATTCTTTTCTATATAACTTCGTTTAGTGCACATTCACTTGTAAACGTAAGTTATCCCTAACGTGTCAGTATCTTCAAGAAAATGCGTAGATGAAGTCCCTTCTCGGATAAAAACATTCAAAGATCGCTCAAAACACTTTCCAATAGTGAAACCACATATAAGAGGTTCGGAAAGGGCTTATAAAATATGGCATAAGCATAAAATATGATGTGGATGGTACTAAGTTGTGTTTCAATGTTTTATCTCACTAAAACGTAAGAGAATAGTTATAAAGCTGAAAACATTTTTGATCCAGCTCCTCTTTAAGTAACTTGAATTGAAAAATGAAAAGTATAGGAGAGTGTATTAAGTTACATGAGCAATAAATGAAAGACCAAAGAGAAGGGAGACAAAACGGGTCTTAGGTAATCACGAATTAGAGAAGTAGCTGCCAGTCTCATACTAATAAACACCTTCTTCTGTAGCATCCAATGATGACCAAACCAAACCAAACCCTCTCTATCTAATTATACAAAGCTCTTTATTCTCTTTTCTTTTCTTTTTTTCTTTCTCCTTTTTTTTTTGTTTTCTAACTAGTGCAATTATCCAATTTCTACTACTTTTTCAGTGTATCTTAAATACCATTTACTCAAAATTAGTGAAAAAGGGGTAAAAAGAAAAAGAAAATTCTGACCTCATGATTTAAGGAAGTTATTGAGTCATGGTCGACCAAGTTATTTAATATGACATTTAATACTATATTACTCCACTGATACAAATTCAATTGTAATGATTTTTTTTTTTGTTGTTGTTAATATGCAAAAGAAATTACTTTAGAAAATTATTTATTTTGCATAATAAATCATTTTTCTCAAAACTCTGAATCATATAATTATGGCTCCCTTGATGGATTAATGCATACACACATAAATTTATTTACTGTGTATAGTTTGGAAATAATAAATGATTTACTATTTTCTTAAGCGAATTAAAAGGTTTAAAGGAAAAAAAAAAAAAAGAGGTAGAAGAAGTACTCATGAGTACTAGTCCCGACTTCATCATGATGATGATGATCAACATCATCCACAATTTTTGCCTGTAGATACAATTATGCATATAGTGAGCCCCCAACTTGTTATTATAACCATCTCTCATTAATTCATCCTCCTTAGTCTATACCTCCTCTTTTAATTCACATGTTCCCACTCTATTCATTTTCATCATAATTTCCTAAAATATGGAAAAACATTTATAACTTATCTTGATTTACATGTATACATCAATGTGCTTCTTGAAATACACTTCTACAAAACAAAACCAAAAAAGTGTTTTAGATTCATCTATCTCATTGGTATGTTCCATTTGTTTTAGCATTAACAAAATATTTTCCGCTTGTTCTGTTGGATCAGCTTGTTCACAACTAATTTCTGCCGTGTAGAAGTGTTTTAGATTCTGAACTTGGATCTAAAATTTGTAAAACCATATTTTGGGTGTGTATGAAGTAAAACCAAACTTGTGATTTGTACATGGATATCTTGGCGTTTGTTTTAGCTCAGCATATCAAAATCAAAGTAGCTAGATCTTTGGTGGGGAAACTCAGCCGTGTGGAGATGTAATATGATTGGACAAGAGTAATGACGGACACGTGAACGACTTTAACGAATTTTATATGATGAGTAGAGTCAAGTTTACTTGTTCGTTGTTATCATTGGCTGTGATCATACATTACGTGACCCACCCCTTTGTTTCCCTATCTCAGTTTCCTTTCATCTCCTACTTTCTCAAACTACATTACTTTTCTGATTATTGCATTGCAGTTACAGAGTTACTAGTTCCATATCAAACCATCAGCCTAGATATTCATATCCAGCAACAATCCCAAACCCTTTTGGATCCGAGAAGTTTCTTAACTTTCTATATGATCTTGATAAGATTATATCAGTATCTATCTACTAGTGGGCAGGAAAAACAGAGAGAAGAGAGACAGAAACTTATGGAAAGAAACAAAGATAGTTTTCATTCATTAGTTTTTCTTCTTCTTATAATCCAATGTACTATTTATACAGATCAAATACAGAGATGCAATTGAGATTCAGGTTAGAACCAGAAGATATGAATGTGATGATGCCATTTCAAATGAATATTCACATTCTAATGAGACTGATACTGAAACTCATATTTTATGGCTTCATCAGCTTTGCTTTTACATATTCCAGAACTTTTTCTACGTCCACTGTCCATGCCACCGATATCGGTGAATATCCTACCCACGGGTTGCTTCCGTTCCATCTGCAAATCCGATCAAAACCGCTATTTAGTGGAAATGTCAAATAATTCAAGAGCATTTCTTATTTTGTGAAGAAGATAGATCGTTTATAAACCTCTTGAGGCCTTGATCCATGAGCGTGTGGCCAATGCATATTCCTTGAGTTTCCACCCGGACGACACCTTTCTTGTATGTGAATAGATCAGGCCGCACAACAGCCACAAAGCTGACTGGGTCGTGGAGGTACACTCCTGAAACAAGCAACAACAAACATTTGAATCAAAACTGCAATTTCTAAGCATGTTTGACTGATCAAAGTTTCTTGCTTACCATAAACACCATCAGATTTGACGTGCCAATCTCTGTAGAAGTTGCACATATCGCTTAACAATTTAGCGTGTTTTCCCTTGGAGTTACGCAGCTCTAAGAGGTCATCATCTGAAACAGAATTAAAAACACACTTTCTTTAAGCAGGCTACAATGCTAAATCAAAGTGTTAAAGAAGATGGCGGAAGAAGCTTATTCACCTGATAGTCTAAGTTGGGTTGTGATGTTTATACCAACAACAGTGATATCTGCTCCAGATGTGAACACGACATCAGCTGCTTCCGGGTCACCATATATCTGCATATAGACCATAGACCCAAAAAATGAAACCGGCATTTTCTTTTTCATTAACATAAGCATATTCAGAGGTTATTACAAGGTGGTTACATTAGCCTCAGCTGCAGGATTGACATTTCCCAAAGAAAAGAAGGCTCCACCAAGAACAACAATTTTCTTCACCTTACTTGCAAATGAACTATCACGTTTGATGGCCTAGAACGAAGAATTTCATCATGGTCAAAACAAAAATCTGATTTTAAGATTAAAGGAGGGATACATGATTCTTACTAATGCCAGGTTGGTTAGAGGTCCGAGGGCGAGAATGGTGACTTCACCCGGATATTCTGAGACCTTCTCATCTAGAAACTCAGCTGCACTTTTCTCACATTTCTTTATACTTGGAGAAGGAAGAGAGACATCTCCTAGTCCATTTTTACCGTGCACAAAATCAGCAACACGCGGAATCCCACCCTGAATCAACACATCAAAGCCAGAAATCGAGCTAAAGTCACAGCGGGTTGACTTGACCATAGCAAATATCTGATTATTTCCATGTCATAAACTAGGTTCAATCCTTATCAGAAGAGAGAAGATGGTACCTTTAAAGGTTCGGAAGTTCCTTCTGCGACAGGAACATCAGGGAAGCCAGCAATCTCACACTATACTTTGCGTAAACGAACAAACGGGAAAGAGATCACCGACACATTCCAAACCATTATAAAAGAAGTAGTAGTGAACGACTCAATGCATTGTACGTACCAGGAGTAAGGCATTATGAGTAGCATCTTGTGTAGAAACATTACCAAACACAGTAGTCAATCCTAATATCTCCAGCTCCGGTGTTTGAAACGCCATCATTATCGCCATGCTATCATCTAATCACACATAAGATGACACTAATGTTAGAACTGATCCTACAATTAAAGGAAACTTATTTCCACAATCAAACTCATTTGCAAAAAAGTCAACAAACTAAAAAGGAACAATCTCCCCTGAATTGTTCTATCAAGCAATCCATGGGAGCTTAAAGATCCAAACTTTTCAACCAAATGAGCACATATAAACAGATTCAAGATATCAAAACAAAGTTGGAAGCTTTCTGAGGTTAAATCATAGTCTCTACCTCAAACTAAAACAATCAAGATCCATTTACTACTAAACTTAACCAACTAATCAAAAAACAGGGCAAAGAAGCTCACCAATTCCAGGGTCTGTATCGATAATGAGCTTCTCACGCTTGGCAGAGATACCCAAAACGTCACCATTTGAGATCCCACCATTACAATTCTCCATACCACAATCCATCTCAACAGATATAATCAAAAGGTTTCTCACCGGAATTGCAAAACCCAGGAAACAAATTCTAAACCTTTTGAAAACTCTCAGCTTCTATCCAGATTTATAGATACGTATCAGATCAGAAAGGTCTCAGCTTTCTTTTTTCTTTTTTCCCTCCAGAATCCTCAACACAAGTATATACCACAAAAAGGCCCAACTTTTTATATATATAGAAAAAGCAGAATCGAAGTGGATTAGCTATTGAAATCAAATGAAAGATTTTATGGAGAGAAAAGAGAAGAAGAAGAAGACGAATTGATGAGTCGTCCAGCCACGCTTTTCTTATTTTTTATTTTTTGATGTGACAGGTGGATATTACTATTAGTTTTCAATTTCACTCAAATTGAGAATATCCTAACATTTTTGACATTATTTATTTATTGAAGACACATTGCCATTTTTAATTTTTTTACCCAACATGCTAAAAATTATCTTTCACGATAAACCACTTTTAAAATAGGGAATCAAAAGTGTAAAATAAGGATTACATAGAATTGTTGCAATTAGTTGGAATATTGTATATTTATAACAATTATTGGATAGGGGAATCAAACGAGTAAAATAAGGATCCCATAGAATAATAATAATTAGTAGTTGGAATATTATTGAAGAAAAATATTGGAAAGAAGAACTTTAGGAGGAAGGAACCAAAAATGTCACATGTGCCAACTATAGCAATTTGTATACTTTTTTGTAATATGTCACCAACCGACGACACATTGACTAGACGTTTATTACGTCACGCATCATTATTTCATTACCCAATCTTCTATATGGGTTTTATTTAGCATCTAAGCCCATACCATCATGGGCCTCATATGTAAACCCCAACGCATTTGCACATGAGCTAGAATGCTTACATCATTTGCAGTTTTGCACACACATATCTTTTGTTTTGAACTTTTAGTTGTTCTTCCTATATGGGTTTTTATTTGTGCCCCTCCTTATGGAATATGGTTAATATGTATTATTTTATAGGTTGTTTTTCTTTAGTTTAATTATAGATCATGATTTATCAAAAAAATATTCAAAGTTATGCATGCATATATTTGTAGATGCATATCTTATGGGTAATCTATTCTTTTTACTATATATTTAAAATATTCTTTTAGATATAGTAATATGTTTTGTTGATGGTGGGTTGTGATATTTTATTAAGAAAATATTACTTTGCCTCTAGATATTTATATCCATGTCAAACAAGAATCTATTTAGCTACACTTCTAATCTTTTTGTGCTTATGTAAATGCATCAAACATAAGGGTTACTGGACTAAAGTAGTCCCTATAGAATGAACAATAAACCCAATAATGGGTTAATTGGCTTTTTCAAAAAAGGAGAACTAATGGTGGTATCTCGACTCTGAAAGCACCCAAATTTGAGATATGTCTAATTGCAGATGAACCAATAAAGGAGAAAGGATATGTAGTGGTATAGTCAAATCATGGATACAAAACCATGGATACAATATAAGTCGCATGGATAATAGTTTCAACTATAAAATTTCCTTTCTGGTTATCACATTCCTTATAACCACTTTTAAAGTAAGCTCACATTCTCAACATAAGGAAGCACGGCAAAAGAAATGTGAGAAATGTTAGAGAGAAATAAAAAAAATGTTATAAAAGTCATGTAGTAAGGAAGAACGATGACATGAAGTCTTTTTTTACAAGATAATTATGCAATAGTTCATTACTGCCAAAACAAGAAGGAGTGACATCTTATAAAACAAAATAAAAACAAGGCCATTCATAACTAAAAGAAAAAAACAAAAATGATATTTTTGTGTGGGGAGACATGCTCGGAATCAAGGTGCTTATTGAAGTCATCAAAAAAAACGATGAGAATGTTCATCACATATATATTTGTTGAGGCAATAGCCGAACCAATATCAAATGCATATGCTCCCGTGACATGTTTAAACTGAGCATGCACCTCAAATACAGAGAGATTGAGAAATATGCCCGAACACATGTGTAAAGAAGACTTGTGGAATAATTTTAAAAAGAGAAAGAAAGACACAAACGAGAATTATAGCCGACATAAAACCAATAATGAGGGTTACATGTCAAAAAAAGAAAAATCATAAACCAACAAAAAAATTGAAAGTAGAGTGGGAACATGCATGAGACGGACGAGAGAATCTTGGCGGCCGTAAATGAGATTATATGCCAATTTGTTATCTAGCCCGCCCAACCTTGTCCATTATTATTATATCAACACAAGGTCCTGATCAGTTGAACCGCTCAGTTTTTTTAACATAACATTCCATTTTCTGAGAGAACGTTAAAATCTATTAGAGTCATACCAGTTGTAAAGAAGTAATAATTGTCTACACAACTAAACTATATTACAAAAACACATGAAGACTAAAACCATGATTGATATAGTGTGATAAAGATACTAGTCACCTTGACAGAGATTTGGATAAAATCATAAAATGCAACTTGGTAACAACAACAGTGATATCATCAGATTTTTTGGGGAAAATGTTAGAGTTGTTTATGCCCCATAAGGCCATAAATGGTGGTGACATCGGAAGGGTATGTGTGTAGATAAATAATATAAAGGCTGATGGAAGGAAGAGAAGAGAAGAGAGAGAGATGCTATAAGATAAGATTACAACAAATACTAGTGGATCATCATCGACAAGCCTAGTCTTTCAAACTTGGCTCCTCTTTACAACCTGTCTTTTTCACATTTTTGTTTTCTTTGCACGCAATTATATTTGTAACCTTACCATAGACATTTCAACATATATTAAAAATGTAGTATAAATATTTAGTTTATAATTTAATCCCTTCTTTCATCCATGAGTCCATGACAAAAAAAAAAAAAAAACTTAAAATTGATCTATTGAAAGAAAAACGAATATTATGTTTTCTAATTATACCAAAAAAGTATCATCAAAATCATAAACCACGGTTTCAAAATAAATAATAGAATTTTGATCAGACCACCAAACACCAAAAACAAACATTATAAACTAAAATAAAAATATCAATGGGTTTTCTAAAAGATGGACCTTTCACAAAATAAAAAATATCATAGAATTAAAGAATAATTTTAATTTTAATTTGTCCTCCATCATCATCATCTTCTTCATCTCTCTGTTTTAGCATATGATATATATTGCTTTCTCCTTCTCTTCTCTATTCTCTCTCTCTCCGTTTCACCCATTATAGAATCCAGTGAATCAACCAAACAGGTAACAAACAAACACAAATCAAATCTCTTTTTTATATATATATTCTTTTGGTTTCCTCTCTGTTTTTGGTTGGTTGCCGAGAAAATTGTCTGAAGAACTCTCTCTCTGTCTCGGTGACCAAATTCCAGAAAAAAGTTCCCTAAATTAATTGTCTTTTGTGTTCTGTTTCAGATTGATTAATATTAATTCCACGAATCTTCCTACAAGATCTGTCTTTTTTTCCATCATTGTCGAAGTTTAAAAAAAAAAAAAAAAAATTATGGCGGAGGAACATCGATGCGAGACGCCGGAAGGTCACCGTCTCTGTGTTAACAACTGTGGTTTCTTCGGAAGCTCAACGACGATGAATCTCTGCTCCAACTGTTACGGCGATCTCTGCCTCAAACAACAACAACAAGCTTCCTTGAAATCAACCGTCGAGTCATCTCTCTCCGCTTCTCCTCCTCCTCCTCCTCCGGCAGTGATCGCTCCACTCCTCGATAATTACGCCGCCGAATTAGAGATCCCGACGAAGGCGGAGGAGAAGAAGCCGATTCAAGCTTCTCCGACGGAGGATCAACCGCAGCAACGGCCGAACCGATGCACCGTGTGTAGGAAACGGGTCGGGTTAACCGGGTTTATGTGCCGGTGCGGTACGACTTTTTGTGGGAGTCATAGGTACCCGGAGGTTCACGGTTGCACGTTCGATTTTAAATCGGCGGGGCGTGAGGAGATCGCGAGAGCTAATCCGTTGGTCGTTGCGGCGAAGCTTCAAAAGATATGATCGGAGGTTTCTTACCGTTGACCGATTTCGTAATTTACCTGAGAATGTTCTCTCGGTGGATCTCAGCCCTTCATTATGTTTCAATATACTTTTTGTATTATCGACACGTGTCGCGCGATTGAGGCTGAGATGGTTTCGTCATTGAACTTTTTAATTATTTTCCTTCCAAAAGTAATTAAAGTTTTTAAAATAATAAAAAAAATTGTGTGGCTTTTTTGGCTTGTGTAAAAAAAAAAGAAGAATATTTCTCTTTTGGGGGATAATAAAGAAAATATATAAAATTGTGTATCGCTTTGTTGGAAATTTGTTTATCGAGTTACCGACAAAATAAAGACGGTTTAATCACCTACTGACCGGTTTTAAAAAAAAGATAGAATACTAGTTGAAGGTCGGTTAACATTTGCATGGAAAAGCTTCTAGTGAACCCAACCAAACCAATTTGTATGTAGGTACTACTTTAACTCATTTGGAATAGTAGACAATCCATATGAAGTCTAAAATAGTAGTCAGAAATGTTTGAATAAAATTTTCAAATAATATAAATATGTAGTACAATATATTGCATATTTCCATATAAAAACACTAGTTGGTCGACAAAAAAAAAAAAACACTAGTTGAAGGTCGGTTAACTCATATTTGTACTCGAAATTCCATATGAAGTCTAAAATAGTAGTCAGAAATGTTTACATATAAAATCTTCAAATAATATAAATATGTAGTACAATATATTGCATATTGCATTATAAAAAAAAACTTCAATAAAACTGAAAAGAAATACTAAAATTATGTAAAATTAAGGAAAAATATCTAAAACATGAAACTGGAGACACGAGATATGTTTCTAAAAGAATTTAACAAAATTAATTCAATGGAAACAGCAAAAAGATTAATAAACCGAACGCCAGAATAAAAATCTAATAAAGACTCCCACGCTCTCTAATAACTTCTCCTCCTCGCCTATATATACGTTCAAGTAGTTTCATGCATAAACAAAACAATTCTGATCACCATCATCATGATGAACATATCTAAACTCACTCCTTGGTTTCTTTTCTTGTCTCTGATTCTTCTATCAGGTATATATATATAGTTTGCTATAGTTACTTTCTTCTTCTTGATATGCTTAATCAATTTTGTATATCATCAGTTTAATTTGTTTTTTTTTTTGCTTCTTCTTAATCGTTCTAGATTACAAGGTAAGAGGGTCGATTTCTCCATCTAGCGAGCGGCCACAAGAAGGTGGTATTTTTGGTTTCAAACCTAAAGCGTTGTTTGTGTTCGGAGACTCGTACGCAGACACAGGTAACACACCTTTGATTGCTGCCTCGTGGAGGTTTCCCAACGGAATCACTTTCCCGGGAAAGCCTACCGGGCGGTTTACCGATGGTCGTGTCTCCACTGATTATCTAGGTATGGAATCTCCACATGTCATAACTTATTCTGACATTTTATCAAACAAAATCTTTGCCATATAGTATACTATTGTAAACAGGTTGCTAACTCAGTATAGCGATCTACCATAACTCTTACATAGTTACATACTTACATCTACGTTGCATTGCATTGCATAAGAAAACGGAAGTCAATAAATTATGTGGTTATATATGTTGGTAACATTCAAGAGTTCCTTCTATATAGTTCGTTTTTAAATATTTTATAACCACATGAAACCTGATTAACTACGTTAACGTTTTCGCTCGTACAAAATGCGAAATATATCTCATGTTTAATGCAATCCGGTTGCAAAATCCGGCTGTTTACATTGCTAGATATGTTTTTTAATCTACATATTGTATTCATATACATTATACATGAACACACAAAAATAACATTAACCGCGTTATGAATAATTCATTTTGCGTACAAAAGCAAATTATATCAACAATTATTAACTTTGACTCGTATTATAACATTTAGCGAAGTATATTGGACTTAAGACGCCGATCGTATACAAATGGGGCAGATACGGACAACCGAAAGGACTAGTAAAAAAAGGAATGAATTTCGCATTCGGTGGAGCCGGCGTCTTTGAGACAATGTTCAAAATAGTCCCTAACGCAAGTGTGCAGATCGATTCCTTAGAACGACTCATCCGGAGAAAAGTTTATTCACCGGCCGATCTCAACTCCTCCGTCGCTTTCTTCAGCATAGTTGGCAATGACTACCTTACTTACGACAGACGCAACGGTTCTGAACAGGTATACAATCTTCTCTTTTCCGACTATAGGGTTGTCACAACAAATATAAAACTGATTGGTTAGTCCTAATATATCTAAAAAATAGTCATGTAAAGTCAAAATTAGAGAAAAATAGTTTTTATTTAAGATTGATGATGATTAATTAAAATATGTATGATGATGGTTAACTATTTCTTTTGCAAATATTAAAATGTGGCAGGGTCGTCCAGCACTTATCAGGAGAGTTGTGAAACAGATTTTGTTGGATGTGAAGCGAATTAAGGATTTGGGAGTGAGAAAGGTGTTGGTGGCTCTATCGCCGCCGCAAAAATGTTTGCCGTTGCTTGCCACTCCTAGAGGCTGTGACACTAACGACACCTCGACCAACCTTCACAACAGTCTTCTCCGTGAAGGACTGACAAAACTAAACGATGAGAAGATTAACAAAAATGCTAAAAGTTTCATCATGTTTGATCTCCACAATGCTTTTGCGACCATATTCAAGAACAAAGGAGTTCCAGGTACGTTAGCTTTTCATTTAGTTTGCATATATAAGTTACAACTATAGTTGTCATAAAAACATACTAGTAACTCAATAATGGATGATGGAATAGCAAACGCAACTTCGATCAAATAGAAGATATACCAAAATATGTTATTGTGTATTATAAAGAGTGTACATGAATGTTGAATTTGATCAGGTGTTTCGACATTTCTGGAACCATTGAAGGCATGTTGTCCAACAAAACGAGGCAAATCTTGTGGAGATGTAGGCTTGAATGGTGAAAAGTTGTACAGTCTTTGTAAAGATCCAAAATCATTCTTCTTTTGGGACAATGTTCATATCACTGACCAAGGATGGCGTTCTGTATTTTCTCTTCTTTTACCTGATTCACAGTTTTGAAGTACATAGATCATATATACAACAATTATCATTATAAGGATATATGCGATTAATGAATTTTCTTTTATAATTCCTAGTAATGTTTTCTATAACGATAGCGTATAGATCAATGAATCTACGGTACTGTACATTAAACCCATAACAATCAAATTCCGACCAAGCTATTTATTAGCTAGAGTCAAAACCAAGGGGGGCGCAATTAACGAATCATAACTTTAGGGGGAGAATATTAAAAACAAATATCGAAGCAACATGTTATCTAACACTTTTAGCTACGATTTAAAAAAATATCGGGGTAATATACTAAAAGACCAGAACTAGAGGGCCAAGTAGACAAAGAATCTTGCAAAGTCTTTCACTTTTGTTTGATTCTCATCATGGCTTCACTTTTGTTCCTTTTCGCTTCAATTTCACGCTTTTTCCTAAATTCGATTTTGCGTTGTTAAATCCTCATAGTCGCTTTCAAAGGTTTGATTTTTCCGATGAGATCTCCAACGAAGACTACACCGGCGATGTCTCCGTCTTCAATTTCCACGGTTAAATCTCCACCTCCGTCTGATACTTCAATGGCCATAGTAGCTTTCGATAACTCCACTGCTCACTTCTCTTCGTCTCCATCGCCTCCACATTCTCTTGACCATTCCAGTGAATCGGAGAAGGAAGAAGAGAAATGTACACCCGATGGTAGGAGAAAGAATAATCATTTGAAGATTGAGGAAAGTCCATCTCCGATTGTGGTGGTTCACAATCACAATCTCTCTGTTAAAGAAGTGGTTCCTCCTGTGATGACGACGAGGAAGACTGCGAGGGTTGGTTCTGGGAGAAGTAGTGGGCAACGATCTGGAGCTGTTTCGGCTATTCTGAGAAGGTCTAGGAGGGAAGAGGTGGTAAAGTTTTCAGCTTTAGGGTTTCGGTTAAGTGAGGTTGTGTTGGCTTTGATTTCGTTCTCAATCATGGCTGCTAATAAAACCCAAGGTTGGAGTGGTGATTCTTTCGATCGTTACAAGGAGTACAGGTATGATTTTCTTGTGTTTGTGCTTCTTCTTGTTAGATGGTGATGTTTCTTGAATCTAGGTTCAGGGTTTAGTTTAGGGTTTTAGGGGTTTGAAATGTTTCAAGCTGAATCACCAGTGTCGGGTATATGATAAGCAATTTGAATTACTTTGGTACATGTGAATTGTAATTCAACGCTCGTGGTCCAAGTCTATGTTTTGGTTGAACTTGATGAAGGTCTTAAAGGCAGTACCTTTCTTCCTTTTTAAGAAATCATTTGTAAATTCTGTTTTGCTGCCTTTGTCCAACACTTGTAGTCAGTTTATTATGCTTTGATGTTGAGACTATACTGTACTGATATCTATGTGTTACCTTCTGATATCTGTGACAGGTTTTGTCTCTCTGTGAACGTGGTTGCTTTTGTATATTCTAGTTTTCAAGCATGTGACTTAGCGTACCATCTTGTCAAAGAGAAGCACTTGATCAGCCACCACCTACGACCTCTGTTTGAGTTCATCATAGATCAGGCAAGTCATTAACTTACTATCACTCGCCATTTTAAAGAGCCTTATCTTGTACTCTATGGTATTCCTTTGTTACTCTCGTTCTTGTGTGGTTAACTTGGTTGCATTTGGTGATGAGGAGACTTGGTTATATAGATTATTCCTGATACTTTGACTTGCACTCTCAGCTTTGTCTCCTGTGAGTCAAAGAAAAACACTTTGTTGTTAACGTACAATGTTGTGACACTTATCAGCTCTTTTATTTGGTTTCCTTTTTCCTTATTCTTTAGCATTTAGCATATGTGGAAAGGGACTATCTTATAGTTAGGGAAACATAGTGAAAGTGACAGTCATACTTGTTTGCCAAAATACTCCCTTCATTACGTTACTGAAACCTCCTAAGCTTTTTTTTATGATTTCTTTGAAAAATGACAAGCTCGTCTCCTGCAAAACATTTCAAAGCAGGTGTAAAACCAATTGAGTTATGAATCAAAGTTTGTTTGTTTTGTTTTTACTGTCAGGTACTTGCATATCTGCTTATGTCTGCTTCAACAGCAGCAGTCACTCGCGTTGGTGATTGGGTTTCAAACTGGGGAAAAGACCAATTCACTGAGATGGCGAGTGCCTCGATTGCTATGTCCTTCTTGGCCTTCCTTGCCTTTGCTTTTAGTTCCCTCATTTCAGGTTATAACCTCTTTAACCAAGACTCACTCTAATCCTCCAACTTTTTTTTGTATAGTTGTCCACACTCCTTGTGTGAATGTATAATAAAAAAAAATCAATATATCTTAGCCATGTAATTATTATTATTATACTTTGAATTTTGTAGACTTTGTTAACAAAAACGCTGTAATCTTTTGAGGTTAATAAGAGAGGCAAAAAAACCTTATTCTGTTGTCAATGGTTGCCTAAATCTGAACCACTAATCAAAGACCAGAGAAAAAAGCAACAACTTCTGGTTCTTGGGCCTTATGAAGGTTCTCGATAGTAATGAGACCTCAAGACTTTTCCTTTGCGCATTTTGAACCTTGAAGGAAACCAAACCCAAGGGCCCTTGTAAAAAAATGAATTTTCAAGGGTTTTGTTGTGGTTTATGAATGGAGAAAGGGCAGTTTAGTCATTTACGGTTTGGACTCTCTGTCTTCCCCCTACGCTTGGAGAATATCACTCGTCGTCGAACCATTAAAGAGGGTTGTGCTTTTTGCTTCGACTCTCTGGGGTGGGGGGGGGGTTTAAATAGAGAGAGAGAGATAGAGAGACTCAATTCTCAGTTCGAGATAAAGCTAGGGTTTTTTAGTTTTCTCAGATATCTTTAACTTCACCAAAGTTCGAAAATGGTTGCTACGAAGAGACTTGGTGATCACAGCGACTCCAACTCGGATGACTCCCTCACGAGGAAACGTGACGATGACGTTGACGCGATGCGCAGGAAGAGGAAGCAACTAAAGACGACGACAGCTACATTGGTACCTCCCTCTGCTTCAAAGATCAAATGGACTAAAAACGATGAGCTTGTCATTCTCGGGGTTAGTAGTTAGTGAATTCTCTACTCAGGTTGTCTTATCTTTTGTCTTTTTATTTTTTTAATAACTATTTTGTGTTTTGTGCATAAAAAGGGTATTGTGGACTTTGAAAATGAAACGAAACTGAGCTTCAGATCCGACCGGGATGCCTTGTACCATTATATAAAAGATTATGTAGAATCAAACTTTTCGAAGAGGCAGCTCATAGATAAGGTGAGGAGCTTGAAGAGAAAGTTTATAGATAATCAGGCGAGATCTAACGATGGGAAAGAGCTTTCTTTTACTGATACTGATGATGATGCCATCTTCAAATTGTCAATGATGATTTGGGCCAAAAATGAAACAGAGCATGTTGGTGAGGATCTGAACCAAGCTAAGGTGAGTCTCTGTTAGTTCTGTTTCTACCAATCTCCTTGCTACAATCTGAATTCATGATGTAAAACAAAAGTTGTATTACTAATGTGTTATGAATCAATGGTCTTGTTTTGAATAAGGATGTTCCTTCTGGGGGGCAAGAAAGAAAGAATGTGACTTGTACGGAGCAGGAGCAAGTGAGTGTAGAAGTTGAGAATGGTGAGAAAGAGAAATTGGACCAAGCCAAGGTGAGTGTGTTTGTTCTGTTACTACCAATCTTGTTATTACCACCTTAAAACATGATGTAAAAACATTTGTATTTACTAATGTATACTGAATGACTGAGCATGGTTTCTTGTTTTGATTTAAGGACGTGCCTTGTGAGGAGCAAGAGGATATGGATGTGCCTTGTGAGGAGCAAGAGGGTAAGGATATGCCTTGTGAGGAGCAAGAGAGGGTGAGTGTGGAGAATGATAATGGTGAGCAAGAGATGAGTGAAGAAGATGGTGTGGGTGAGTTAGGTGTTATGGAGGACACACTTGACTCTGGGATCACGTTACTAGATTCAGCTAAAAATGGTGAGAAAGATAAGAGTGAAGAAGAAGGTGTGTATGAGTTGGGTGTTCTGCAGGGGATACTTGAGGGGGATACATTTTATCAAAACTGTGGTAAATTTCAACAGAAGATGCTGCGTCAGAATTTGGAAAAGATTGGAGCAGAAAAAAGAAAACAGCTAATCGACGAATGGAACGCGTTGATGGTTGAGGAGCTGAAATTGTATGTCAAGAAACTAACTTTCTTGGCAGAGCTGCTTGAAATGGGAGAAGTTTCTCCTTAGTTCGTAAGGAAGAATAAAGTATGCTCTTGGAATGATTTCGATGTTTTAGGTTCCTTCTGCTATTTCCTTTCCATCTTTTTCTTCTTGTGTTGTGTTTTAGCTATCATTTTCGAACTTTCAAGTAGCGTACGCTAAAAGGGTTGTGTGACTTCTTTTGTCTTATGGTGTAACTTGTTCTATGGAATTATCCTTATTTCTTTTTCGAATGACTTGAACAACCCCCACTGTTGCATGCACTACTTGGTAAATCTAGGATCCCAAGTGAGTACATATTTCTCCTGAATCCTGAATTATACCTCATTCTATGTCGAAGTCGCCGCAATTCTACTCTTCCTTAAAGATCTTTATACTTCCAAGTTACAATCCTTGCCGTTTCTTCATTCAGCTCATCAAACTAGTCATTCTTTGGTGTCATAGGATAAGAAAATTATGATGCATCAATGATCCTTTCTTGTTCTCTAGAGTAACATGTAGAAGTAGAACCTCAATGAACTCTCTTGATCTCTTTGTTCTTGTTTAGTTCTTTTTGGGCTTGGGTTTAAAAAACGATCCTTTAGTTAGGCTCTAACTTTGTGGCACATTCGAGAAAGAACACAAACACTTAAAGCCAAGATTCGCATTTTGCCACATGCCATTATGATAGATATTTTTTTTGTACTAGTCTCAACGAAGACCATAGATCAAAACATACAGTATTTATGAAAAAAGAAATTAGTTATACGAAAAAAAAAAAGTGATTGATGTGAAATGTAATGAAGACGAAAAGAAAAAAAGAAAGAAAGAAACGACGAATTTGGACGTAATATTAGTTTTTGACAAGAGACCCGCAAATATATGCTTAGGGGACCTACACTTCACATTTCAACTTTATCATCACACTAAACACCAAAATCCCCGACACATTTATACAAACAAATTTCCAATTTTTTTCTTCTCACTCTCTCTCTCTATCCTGTAGATTCTCTTCAAAGCTCAGGCCTTTAGTCTCTTTAGGGTTCTTTTGGGAGTCTTTATGAGCTCTTGAAATGTTATTTGGTACGCCTTTGTATCTCTACTCTTGCTTCTGCATTTTGCGATCTTTGTTGCTGCTTTTGATGAGATTTGGGGACCATCTTCAGGGTATTTTTTTTTTTAATTTGCATCTATTGTTTCTGGGCACTGAGCTTATGCAATGTCCAGTGGGATTGAGCTTTCATTCATTTTGGATTTGATGTGAATCACTTATAAGTCTCTTGATGAGTGGACACCTTCGATATGTTTTTAAAAAAAAGTTGGATCTTCTTCATTTAGTTAAGCTAGTGTCTTTTAGCATTTTGTTTATGTTAGCTTCATGAGATCTGGGATCGAGGGTGCTAGAACCTCTTGCTTTGATTTCACATTTTATGGAGTTTGAATTTGTTAATCTCTTGTTGGGTTTGGTTAGTATTTTGCTTACGTTTTCATTAGCTGGAAGTGACTTGAACTTGGCTTGTGGTTTTGATGAGTTTCTTTCTATTAAAAGTTTGGGGTTTCCCTACAAAAATGTGTTCTTTTTGTTAATTTAAAGTCTAAAGTATCTATCTGTACTTGTGTAGGGTTCATCATTTGAGTCTGTAAGACTAACTATAATGACTTTTCACTGTTCATATCCTTTTTAAAATCTGTTGTTTCCCTTTACTTCTTAAAGCTCCTTACTTGTTCATCATTTCATGTCTCTGTTACATCTTCCTTTCTTCTTTCTTCCCTTTTACTCATTAGTAACATTGCTCTTTGATTATCCAAAAGGTCAGTTTCTCATTACTTACAGGGGATTGTGATTGTTGCAGGGTGTACTCGGATCTTTAAGATGAACGGAGGAAGATGAGTCTCTCACGGTCTTTCAGTAACAAAGTCGTGATAAAAATAGCATGGTTTAATTTCTCACTACTTGTTTCTGAATTCTTGGAATGATATCGGTATGAGGAGCTGTCCACTGTTGTAAACTGTAAGTTATCACCATGGGATCGTTCGTTGGTGCGTGTGAAATTGTTGAGGAGAAGGATGTGGTCAGGTTGGCTAAACATTCTGGCAGATATTGTATGCCACCTTTGGGATCAAGTAGAGATATAGAGCAGCGTCCTGCATTGAAGTCAGAGTACCAAGGTTCTGTGGAGTATGACATTGATCAGCTTTTCCAGTCTATATCTATAAAACCATCACCTCGAAGAGTGATGGGATCTTCTTTCCATCGTTTTGAGACTAGCGCAAGTGCTGGTACGAGCAGGAGAACAAGTGCTAGCACGAGCAGGAGCACAAGCCCTTCAAAGAAAGGTGCTATGAAAAATCCCTTTCCCATGGGAACACCTCGATCACCAAGAGTTGGCCCCTCTGATTCAATATCACTGAAGCAGGCTCTGAGAGATCTTTGCATCTCAAAGGCATCAGAAATGGCTGCTCAAAAACGTTTATCAAAATCTGCAGCTGCATCTCCGAGGGTTTCTGAAGCAGACAGGATAAAGAGTCTTTATAGACAAGTTTTGAATGAATCTGCTGGCAGGTCTGGGCTTCCTGTGGACAAGGGTAAAAGCTTGGTTGAAATATCTTTGACGCCGGTAGTTGATATACCCAGCTCCTCCCAGAGTATACCTCAGCAGTTTGATGTCCTTGAGACGGAGCCTTCTAACTCCATTTCTGAACCATCTCAAGCTAAAATCCTTCTCCCTATAAATGGAAACAGATCAGGATTAAAGATAGTGAGATGTCAAATGTTGGAAACTTCGTTACTGCATAAGTCCAACAAATCTGGATCTTCTCTCAGTTCTAGTAGTGGAGATTATGAGCTACAGCTAGATGAAGATACGACATATATTCCTCATGTTGTCATTGAAGATAGTTTGGTAGAAATAGACAAACATGTTACCTCACTACCTTTGTGTTCTGGCAGCAAAGTTGATTCTGAAGAGCTAGACAAGAGCATCGTTTCATCAGCTACACTGAAAAGTGAGCCAACAATTCTGATCTCAGAGCTAAAAGGAAAGTTGGATAATGCACCTAGTTCAGGAACCGAGAACGGAAAATTGGTTAGCAAGGTAACAAAATATATCCCTCGTCCTAAATTGCGGCCGAAAAGGAAGATTTTGCTTAAAAGGAAGTTAAAAATCGCTATAGCATCTACTACAAAAATGGTCGAGAAAGTTGATACTTCCTTAGAGCCTAGTGCAAGTGAACTTCTGTGCCAGAAATGTCACTGTGCGTTAAAGAGCAGCAGCACTGAAAACCATCCGCCCACAAATACTAATGGAACTGAGAAATGCTCAAATGATTTGAGCTCTTCCTCAAAAATTATCAGTATAGAAGCAGATCAAGAATCACTCGCAAGCCCGCCTCTTAACCGCATTTTGAAGTGTAATAAAGAGCCGAAGAAAGATTCCTCCAATTCTTGTGAGGTTAGTGATAGCGATGAAGCTGTTGTTGTCTTGAAACAAGAAGTGTCTTCAAGCAGTTACAGTGGAAAAGGTGATGCAGATGAACAGATAAGAGAGCATCCAACTTCCAGTGAGAAGTTTGAATTCTCGTTGAGCTCAAAGAATAGCCTAGGCGATTATAGCAGCAGCACAAGCATAAGTGAGGAGAGCCATCTGAGCAGGTTTAGCTGTGGCAATAAACCTCACATGTCTATGGATGTGAGATGGGAAGCAATTAAGCATGTGAAGTTGCAGCATGGCTCTTTAGGACTCCGACATTTCAACCTTTTGAAAAAGCTTGGATGTGGAGATATCGGAACAGTCTATCTTGCTGAGCTGGTTGGTACAAACTGCCTGTTTGCTATAAAGGTCATGGACATCGAGTTCTTGGCCCGAAGGAAAAAGACACCAAGGGCACAGGCAGAACGGGCAATCCTTAAAATGTTGGACCATCCTTTTCTGCCTACCTTGTATGCGCAATTTACTTCAGATAATTTATCGTGTTTGGTAATGGAGTATTGTCCTGGTGGTGATCTTCATGTCCTGAGGCAGAAACAGCTCAGCAGGTGTTTTTCCGAACCTGCAGCTAGGTAAGATTACGTTTCTCATTGTTTTTTATTTGTAATGCTCACAAAGTCTTTCTCTGGTTAGCAAATTCAGTGGTAATATTGAAACTGATGATACTGTTCACAGGTTCTATGTAGCAGAAATCCTCCTTGCTCTGGAGTACTTACACATGCTTGGTGTTATATACCGAGATTTGAAACCAGAGAACATTCTCGTCCGAGAAGATGGTCACATCATGCTTACAGATTTTGACCTCTCACTCAGATGTGCAGTGAACCCGACTCTTCTCAGATCAACTTCTCCACCTGAGAAAGATCCTGCAAGGATGTCGGGTCCATACAACCCATCCAATTGCATACAACCTCTATGTATTGAACCATCGTGTCGGGTCCCATGTTTCAGCCCTAGGCTCTTATCAACCCAAGCTAGAAACCCAAAACCAAAAAGAACGAAAAGGCCAGATCTTCTGACCCAGCAGTTCAGGTCATTGCCTCAGCTTGTGGCTGAACCAACCGAAGCAAGATCAAATTCGTTTGTGGGAACACACGAGTATTTGGCCCCGGAGATCATCAAAGGAGAAGGACATGGTGCTGCAGTAGACTGGTGGACATTCGGGGTCCTTCTCTATGAGCTTTTATATGGAAAGACGCCTTTCAAAGGTTACGACAATGAGGAGACACTGTCTAATGTTGTATACCAGAACCTCAAGTTCCCTGACAGCCCGCTCGTGAGCTTCCAGGCAAAGGAGTTGATCAGAAGGCTGCTTGTGAAAGATCCAGAGGGTCGTCTCGGGTCAGAGAAAGGAGCTGCAGAGATCAAAAGACACCCTTTCTTTATAGGATTGAATTGGGCTCTCATCCGATGCGCCATACCGCCTGAGCTACCAGATATCTATGAGAATGGTGCAGGAGAAGCAGCTTCTTCTGAAGGAAATAATAGGTATCTTGAATGTAAAGCCATCGGAGATCATCTCGAGTTCGAGTTGTTTTAGAAGGTAGGAAAGTCATTAAGGTCTAAGCAGACAGGAAAATTTTCTCGTTAAGCTATTATCTATTTCTAAGTCTCATAGGTAAAGTTCTACCTCTCTTCTTTCTTATTGGCTTACTATAATCAAGAATCTGAATTGAAATCGTAAACAGTAAGAGATAAATTGGAAACAATGTATGAAACAGACAAATTCGAATCACACCAAATCTAAGAGTCTAAAAGTATCATTGATTCATTGGCATGGCTGAAGAATGAGTTGTATGCGATTGGCTCAGTAATTAATGAAGAAATCTGTTCAACTTTTGCATGGATTTTTCGTGCAATTGGTTAAAACTTCAAAGTTATAGAATCCCGACCCAGCAGGTGAATATAGGACAATCTCATCTCAGCCAAGTGCCTAATATTCTTTTAAGGAATTTAGATTAAAGCCTTTTTCTTTACTTTTCAATTGGCGGGATTTGCTTTGTTTTGGAATGGTGTCACGGCAAAGCAATCTCCTTTAAGAAGGTTGAAGCAAAAGCAAAAGCACAAAAAAAGAAAGAAAACACACTCAAAGTAGATAAATAGAGTTGAAGTGTTTGGAGGAGACAACTGACCAAAGGAACAAGAAGAACATGAGTAACAGCAACTCAGGAGCTACCATTTCGACCAAAAGTAAGCTACCAATGGACGAGAACCAAGAAGAAGAGATATGGCGAAAATTTCAAGCCCGGGAAGAAGAGATTGAGAGGAAGAAGATGGCAGTTAAGGACAAGATTCAACAGCGACTTGGGTTTGCAGAAGAAGCCACAAGAAGCTTGACCCAGACATTAGAAGTAAGTGAACAATAGAAATCATACTCTTCAAAAATACATATGAACGCTACTCAACTTTCTATGAAAACATATATCCGTATTAAAAACACCAATGTTGTTTCGAAGGGGCTAGAAATTATGGGAGATCCAATGAGGAAGGAAGTGGGGATGGTACGAAAGAAAATTGAGATGGCAAATCGAGATATCAAATCTTTGTCTCAGAGCTGCCAGAAGAAGGTTTCATATTCTTTATTAACAATCTTGCTTCTTTTTACCTCTACAACTCTTTTTATGTCCATCAATAGTCACACCAGATGCTAAATAAATGCCAGGAGAAGGAATACAAAGAGGTACTGGAGGCTTTCGACGAAAAGAACAAAGAAAAAGCGCACCTCGTTTCAATCTTAATGGAGGTAAATCGACTGTACCTATCATAGATCTGATTCTCTAAGACTAATAACTTTGTGGGTTGCTTGTGATACTGATCGTAATCTCCGTGATCTTCTTGGCAGCTACTGGCTGAAAGTGAAAGAGTAAGGGTGAAGAAGCTGGATGAGATCAACAAGACTGTTGGGTCCTTGCGATAATGAATTTTACCTTCGACATACCTGTTTGCCTGTTTGACGTTTTGGCATTATGTATGGATTCAAATTCCTCTCTTAAAGTGAGAAAAATGTAAAAGAATGTTATGGAAAAAAGGTTTGCCTCACGGCTTTAAGAAATTCATACCTAGAGATGGTTTTGCTCCCTTGTGAGTGTGAGGTGGCTCATTCAGATTAGAAGGGTTTTGTATTCTTCCAGCAACTTGGGGATATCATTAATCCGCAACTGAGAATAGCAATCAAATTAGATGTGTCAGAACGCATGTGGAAATAATGAACCTGATGTGTGTAAGATGCATAAAAGTTGTAGACGGAAAAATAAGGAAGAGATAGAGTAATGCATATAGTCAATACTGATATGCATTACAGTGGTAAACATCACAGAGAAAACTAAGAAAAAGAGTACATCTGCTGATAAGAACTTAAAAAATAGACTAGTTAGGCTCAGAGCCACATAATTCAAGGTTAGATTCATATGATGATGCAACACATTGATTGATTGGTTTCAAACGTTCATGAGAGCTAATAACAGGAGGAATCACGCGGTATTACCTCGGAAGAACTTTTGATATGATAAAACGTAAAGGTTTCCGTTCCGGGGAGGCCAAAGTTAGCAAATGTTAAGCTGCTCTGTGCTCTGAGACACCCACCACGAGAGAAACAAATGAATGATGCAAAGGAAGAAGCAAATTTAAAATTTCATAGCATGTAACAGTTTTCAGAAGGGGTACAAAACAATTCTTTTTACAATTACCTTTATTGCGAGGATTTCACAATCATAAGAAATGAATCAGTTACAATAAAATTTCTTCAATTAACAAGTCTCAAGGGAATATTCAAGAAACAACGAAGATATCCATGTCAATTTTTTATATCCCTCCTAAACTCTCACTGGATTTAGCTAAATCATTTTAATATCCTGTGGTGATTCCAGGGGAATAACCATCTAATCAACATGCAAAGATAATCTAAGTAAACAAGAACCAAATCCAAAATAATTGGCATGGATAAGACAGAACTCACGTGTATTTTCGAGTAACTAGTCGCTGATAATCTCGAAGTAAGGAACAAAGCTCTTTAAGTTGTAAAGTTGTCGGAGTGGACTCTTTCCAATGCTGACGAAGTGCTTGAGCTGCCATCTTTTCATTGAGAAGTATTTTAGTACAGGATAATACAATCTTACATCCTGAGAAACAGAAAGGAAAGATCACCTGAATCGTGGAGACCCGATCATCACCTACATCTCCCTCAATTAATCTTGATCCTAATTCAACAAATTCTTGATCTTCTGACTCCTCTGGAATTTGAAGACGCAGCTCTGATGAAACAGATATTCCCATTTTCTTTTGCAATTCAACAATACTGGATACCTCTTGTCCCCTTTCCTGCGGTGATCAGACTCTTGATTGTTTAAACAAGTTGAAAAGCTAATTTATGTAGGAACTCCAATTTACCTTATCCAATTCTCTCTCTGAATCCTTGATTTCAGGAGGATTTTTAACTTGAGGTAAAGAAGATCTCTTGGCTATCGGATCATCTGAGAAAAGCAAAACATAATAGGGTGAGGTTATGCTGGAAGCAGATAAATTTTGAATTAGATCGTTATCCATAGTTACACATACATTTTTTCATCAAACACAATAAGAACATTTTCAGAGTTCACTAAAATTTACGCAGATGCATAAAACTTCATTACTTCCAAATCATACTTCGATAAATAAAAAAACGCATGCTAGAAATTGAAATGCAGCTGCCTACAGTTTATGACCAACACCACCATGATTGGTTCGTCTAGCGATACTATTTCAATATATAAAATATATCCAAAAATAATATAGATGATGTAAGATAGTACCTAAGTTGAGAACTTTTGGGAGGTAAAACATCAGTACAAATAAGAATAAAATACCTTCGGGCACCAACCACCAGAGATCACCGAAGGTCAATTTTCCATCAAAACCACCAATTAAAAGATGACGAGCCCCAATAGAAGTCATGGTATGGTAAGCTCGAGGAGGAGGGGGCTCATTGCTTATTGGTAAGCGCTTCCACTGAGCGGTTACTGGAATGTGGAAATAAAACTATAGCGGAAACAATAACAAAGCATATAAAAAGTGCACAAAATAAAAATGGTAAACTACTCTACGTCACAGTTAATTATCTTGGTAGATTTTACTACTGTAAAGAACTAGGTTGATTTTAGGTTGCTTCGAGAAATTTCTGTGATTACGATCTAATTGCACGAGAGAGCTAACATCTACCTCTGTCCAAGATTATAGTGTCATTATAATAGACATCATAACGACTCAGCCATCCACCAGTTCCATGTCCTCCAAATAAGAGAAGCTGCACGAACAAAATTAATGATGCGAGTATGTAGGTCACGAATGCATCCATCACGAAACCAAAAAAAAATGATTAACATCTTGATTACAGACATAGATTAAAAGGAGAAAATAGGAGCTGAAAATACATACGTAATGCCCTCCAGATGTAACTGTATGACCACATCGAGATGATGGTGCCTGACCAGGAAGCTTGAGTTGGGTCCATCCAGGTGTTTCACGCTCTTTCTTCCACAAAAAATGAAAACCACAATATGATCAATAAACAGAAAATAAGACAAATGAAGAGAGAGTCTACTAGTTTCAATGAATATTTAAGAAATTAAGGATGAACCTTCATCTATCAGACCCTTCAAAGCCCACAAATCACCCATGATTGGGCCACCACCTCCTGCCAAAGATAACCATATTACACGCCATATTTTCAGTTTTGTTGTTATAGACTCTAGCCAAACAAACTGTGATCATGACCTATCCCTTAGGATTGCAAGGGAATTTCTACAATACATATAGCATCAATACACCCAGTTAGAAAACTTCATTAACAATAAAGTCGATAACTGTTAGTGATGCGGAAATCAAACACATCAACATCCAATAACATTGTTTGAAGAATGAAATGCGGAATAGCAGCTAAGTTAACATTTGGTTTTTGTATCTTGAGAAATCACACTTATCAATTCGGTGTTCAGTACAATAAGGGGGGGGGGGAACTTAAGTAACAATATGCTAAGCATCTCAACGTAATTAAGGACTCGATCAAGGTGAATTCAGAAGTTAACAGAGAGGGCCGACAAAGGTTTAGAGTAGTCTACCTCGGCCACCGAAAACAAGTAACCGTTTCTCAACCATGGTGGCCGTATGGCCACATCTAGGAGGTGGCAATGAACCCGAAACAGAAAGCTCCATCCATTCAAGGGACACTAATGGATACCAAGAAAGTAAGCATTATAAGCAAATAATCGAGTCTATTGCAAAACTGAAACTAGAAGAGAGAAATTAAGATTTACTTGTATCCATAACATATACATCTGACAACCACTTTTTCCCATCCCAGCCGCCACACCTTCCAACGATCTTAGATTTAGCTATGCAGGCAGCAAGATTTAAAAAATATACCTAATGATTAAGTCTAAAGTTTGATACTTACAAAACAATTTTTTGGTTCCCAATAGCAGCAGCAGCAGCAAAATCACGAGGTGTAGGTAAGTCGCCAAAGCTAGTCAGCTCAGACCACTGCCATATATCTGCAGCAAAAGTTAGCAGCCGTCATTGATAAGGATATCATAGAAGTGTCATACCAGAGTATTAAAAATTCTCAGACAGGTCTCGCACGACATTACAAACATACCTGTATCTAGAACCCAAAAGTCGCCCAACCTGAATTTGATATATAGAAAGAAGCTATTTAAGGCCAGTGAAAATAGAATGTAAAGCCGCTATAACTAAAACATAAACCAGTGTGTACCTCTTGCCACCAGAACGTCCACCAAAGATGAACATATGGCAATCAATTGTGATAGCAACATGAAAGGCACGCGATGTAGGACCTACTTTTCCTTCAGACTCGCTGCCAGTACATTCTGGCTCAAACCAAAGTTTGTTCTCTAGTCGACAGGATGAAAAACAAACAATCATAAGACAACCATTTAACATGATAAATGACGCTAACATAAGTATAACCATCAACACTCAAAAACCATAAAGAACCCACTTTCACCGCTACTCAAAACAAGGAGAATGAGAAATAAGAAACTCAAAATATGGAGTACTAAACAAAACAAGCAAAACTGGTAAGACAGTATCCGTCTTTTTCATCTTCAACACCTAATCACCAAGGATCTCATGTGAAGTTTACAGCTTTCTATGTTTTGCTAATTCTTAAGTGAGAAAACAACTATATATGACGAAGCACAGCCCCAACCAAGCTAACACTCAGTAAACTACAAGAAACACTACTCATCACAGGCAAAGCAATCCAAGACAATAACTCAAAATAAAATAAAAAAGCATCTTCCTTAGAAAATAAACCAATGAGAAGAAAAATGATACAAATAATCATAATGAGAGTAAGCTAAGTTTTCTAAAATAACAGAACAATCGAGAAACAATTATGACAATACCAATGTCATAAACAATGATGTCGTTGAGAAATTTCTTATCGACGAGACCACCAAACACCACAACCATGGATTTTCCGACATTGACAGCTGTATGTCCACTGATACAAAACACCAACAAAATCAGCTGAATTCGAATCGAGAGCCACTAGTATAGAAGAACATGAGATTTTCACCTCCGCGGCTTTGGAGGAGTTCCGCTGAAATCGGAAGAAGAAGCTTGAACCCAGTGATGCATTGTTGAGCCGATGATGACGAAATCTCACGGATCAACCTTTGAATTCGATTGATTCAAGTAGTCAAATTATTTGCAGATCGATCGTAAGAAGGACTCTTCTTAGTTCATTTAAACCAACAATTTGGTTCCGGTTTAGTTGGTTTATTCCGGTAATTTAAAATTCGGGAAGATTTATTTGTTTAGGTTTAAAACAGAGTGAGTTTGAGTTTGTTTTTGTTGCAGAGAACAATGGCACTAAGCTCACTCGACGAATTCGTAATCCTCGTTGTGAAGAATCCATGCCTTCAAGAAGACGCGTCTTCTTCTCCGAGCCAAGTGATTTCAATCTCAGCTTCTGAGATTGTATCCTGGGATTTGTCAGAGATACTCACTTACGGAAGTGTAAAAGTTCGAGCTCATCGAACTAGGCAAGTGTCATATATACTTCCTCACCCCCAGTCTCGATTTTTATCCATTAGGTTTTGTTTAGTAATGTAAAGATTCTTGCTTTTTTGGTTTTCTATGTAGACTCATTGAGGAATCTTCGTATTTCCATGGCCTTCTAAGCGGAAGCTTCAGGTATATATGTGTCTACTTTGTTGTATTTTGGTGTATGTATTAGTTTTTTAAACAAAGGGATTGAAATTGTATTTTGGTAACAGTGAATCAGGCCTTGATCATATCTCTGTCGAATGGAACCTAGAGGCATTCTTGAATCTTCTGATGTGTTTGTATGGTTGCGCCATTGATATTACATCAAGTAGTTTCGTACCTCTGTTTGAGGTTAGCTTTTTTTTGGTATCATCATCTGCTCTCATTGATCTTTTTCTCTAGACTCTAGTAACATGCTTAATTAGCGAACTCTGAATGGCGAAATATAGGTTGCACTCTATTTTGGAGTGGAGAGGCTTCTCTCTATATGCAAAACCTGGCTTTCAGATTCAGTGTTGGCATCATCTAATGACCCTGCATCACCTAAACTGGATTTGTCTGACCTTATTCAGATGTGGAGTTTTGGTCTCGAGCATGGTTAGAAATTTAGAATCTTGCGAGAAATCTCTTATAGTTGTTAAATTTGTGAAATTTTTCTAAATCATGATTCTTTTTGGTGATACTTACAGCTGGAGAATTTGTGCCAGATCTCTGTGCGGCCTATCTTGCAAAGAATTTTGTATGTATCACTCACTCTTCCCATCTATCCTACTTAGTAGTTGTTGGGTACACTTATGTTCTCCTTTCAGTGATATGTAGGTTGTATGATAGAAAATGATGACCTTCTGTCTACAAGATCTAACTTCTTCCCATTTTGGTAGTCGTGGTAGCTAATAATGGACCCTTATGTCTTCTTCAGATGTTGGTAAAATCTGACAAGTGTTTTGGAAGTGTTCCATATGAGTTGTTGATCTGTTGCATTAAACATCCTCACCTGACTGTACACAGGTATTTTTGTATCCATTGAATATCTTATACTGCAAACATACCTAAGATTCTCACCGTTGACTAAACTCTGACAGTGAGATGCATCTTGTTGATGCACTTCTTGTTTGGCTTGATGCCGACAGAAGGATGTCTGGCTTTTCTGAGAGTAGGCAGGATAACACAACAAACTTGATGGAACAGGTAATATTTAGAAGGCCTGTCACCTCTGCAGAGATGAATTTAACATATATTCAAATTTTGTTAACTATAAGATGCAGATGTCCGGTGTTGAATCACATATTCACCTTATGCATTCTTTTGCGGTCAAATGGCTCATATTCCACACCAAATGAAAATAAAAAATGACACATGTGTATTTAAATCCAGTGTCCCCTACCTACATGAAAAAGGTTAAAAGCGGTGTAGCTGATGTGCTGTAAATGATCCACCTTGAATGGGAAATTTTTTTGATTACTTTAGGACAAAACTGGAATACAAATAATTTCTCTTTGGAGTTTTTATTTTATTTTGCTCATTCTATATTATATGTTTACCTCTATGGGACTGTGGTTCTCACTTTAGGTTTTCTTGTTTGTTAATAAATTATATTGCAGGTCCGTTTTAGTCTTTTACCACTGTGGTTTATTGCAGGTAATGTTATGAGTTATGACAGAGTGTGTGACATTTCTCCAACCTGGAGATATAGCAGATATTTATTGCGTTTAGTTTTTTTTCCATATTTCAGGAAGAAGTAACTCTCAAGGGTTCTCAAAGTTTGTTGATCAAAGCATGGAATTGGTGATTAAACTAATAAAAATGCCATCCACATACGTAGTTGATAGTCTTACAGATGGCCCTCCTGCTGATCTCAGAGTTCGCCTGACTGAATACACTGAGGTATCTACCCTTGAATGAATTTTCTTTCTTGATTTGAGTTAATTAGTTGTGTCAGGAATTGTATTTCAGGTTTCGCTAGAATTAGTATTTGTGTTGGGCATCTTGTAAAGTTCACTTATGTACAGGGTTATAATGAAAAGCTTTTCTAAAAGTATCCAACTTTTTCATTACGACACATAAATCCAAGTTCTGTCCTACATGTTCATTTATTTAGACATTGGATGTCTTTAATTCATTTTTTTATGAATAGCTAGTCCTTGAAAGCTTTATGTCGTCCTTTCTAATAATGTCTTTGTTCCCTCAATCAGATATTGGACCTCTCAGGATGCCTGCAAGTAAATGAAGCCAGTCTGCTATTGTCAGTACTTCCTGACTCGTATTTCACAAATCTCATGTGGAAAAAGAGTTTGACAAGTATCCTAAAGAACCCTGAAGACAATGAAAGAAATCGAGAACATCTATCTTATAGAACTTTACCAATTTTGTCTTTCGAATCAGTGAAAGGGATTGATATTTCCAAGTGTCAGAGGCTCAACTATAAATTTGTGATCAAGTGCTTCTCTAAGTCCTTCCCATCATTAAGAAAACTGAAAGCTGCTTATCTCTTAAACATCAAGGTGTCCACAATGCTTGAACTTCTCCAGAATTTTTGCCAGCTCACTGATGTTGATTTAACAGTTGATATCGCTCCAATAATACCGGTTCAAGCATCGTTGTTTTATTCTGGCAGAGGTCATTTTTCGCTCTCCAATATCACAAGACTAACGCTGGAGGGTAGAAGTGATATATGTGGTTAGTCTTTATGTTTGTTTTTGGCCACTTTCTTATACTTCCAATTGTTTGATCTACCATATGAATCAGCACATTCCAAATATGCTCTTCTTTGACAATCCTTATCCCAAATATTATTCTTGTTGCTTTCAACAAACTTAAGGCAGCTAACTATATGCGTGTGTAGCTGATATCTCAATTTTGCATTGCAACAGATATGAAACTACAGAGCATCTCTCGAGGATGTGATTCTTTATGTTACCTGAACATAAAAGGGTGTGCACTACTCTCAGATGAATGTATAGCTTATGTTATACAGAGGTGTAAATATTTATGCTCTCTCATAGTTTGCTATACATCTTTTTCGGAGAATTCGGTTTTGGCACTATGCGCCAGTATTTCTATGATCAATGAGCATATGGATTCATATTCATTAGCATCCAAGCTTCAGATGCTGCACATGACTAAATGCGAGGGTGGGTATTTTTTTCCACTTCAATGTAAAAGACCATGGCATACATAAATTTAGTGTTAAATTTACAGGAATTAGTGAGACATCGCTTCTAAACTTGATATGTCAGACACGGAAAATGAAGAGTCTTTGCTTAAAGGATACAAAAGTTTCAGACAGTGTGCTATGTGAATTCCCCGGCTCTTCCTTGGAAGCACTTGATATTTCAAATACCACGGTCAGCCATTTATTTGCTAGTATGGCATATCTTAATCTCACAGGACATAGTCGCATTCAAGTGATGCTCTGATTCAGTAATAATACATCATGCATCAGCCCCTCTAATGCTTGGATATTTTTACAGATATCTCGGATGGCTCTTGCTCGTGTAATTAGCAGAAATCCTAACCTAAAAATCCTCAAAGCCAGGGGATGTAAAAATCTGCTTCAGTTACAGGTTGATGGGGGAACTGACTATTCCTCTCCGTTGTTTTCTACTCAAGAGGTGTTTAAATGTTTAAGCAAGGGAAGCGGATTGGAGGAGCTTGAGATAGGTTGGGGGTTTTCTTATTTCTCTCTTGAGTGTTTGAGACCTGCAGCTTCGTTCCTACGAGCTATAAGTGTGGGTTTGGGTGCTTCCTTAGGTGAAGATGCTTTAAAGCTTCTTGCTTCATCTTGTCCTTTGCTAGAGTCTACCGTCCTCTATTTTCAGGTAGTTCTTAGTCTTTGAACTTTGAAGAGTGTTATTGAAAGATAGTGAGCCGCTGATCTTTTCCCATTTTTAACTCATTTTTGGTTTGACAGGAAATATCTGATTCTGCCTTGACACTTATTTTGACATCATTGAAGCACCTGCAAGAGTTAGCTTTGTCCTATTGTTTCGGTGACATATCCATTAAAAGTTTCAAGTTCTCTATGCCGAACCTGAGAAAACTAAGGCTTGAGAGGGTAACTCGTTGGATGACCAATGATGATTTATTTGTTCTCACACAAAGTTGTCCGAACTTGACCGAGCTTTCATTAGTAGGATGTTTACACTTAAATTCAGGTACAAACTATATTTTTCTAGGGAACCAAATTATTTGATCTCATAATCATGTGCTATTTCTTATTTTTTTCATCTCTTGTTACAATTTTTGTCTCTCAGATTGTCAACCTATCATCTCAGCTGGATGGCCGGGAATGATTTCTCTTCATCTAGAGGTTTGTCTGGACCCTTTAGCTTATTAGTAATCGGCATGATTTTCTTTCATCTTAAGGAAACTTTTGGAAGAACAGTACAGTAATTCGCTTTTTATAACTACGTTAACCATGTTTTGGTGGTAGGAATGTGGAAGTATAACAGAGAATGGTGTCGCTTCTCTCTATGGCTGCATTGCTCTCGAAGACCTTTTACTTCGCCACAACGTAAGTTATCTTTTATGTATCTACTCTTTGTAGTACTATAAAATCTCTTAGATGGGTCAAGCTTTATCAAAGGTTCCTATATTTCTGCTTTCGTTTTCTTTTTTAAGGGCTCTGGAATACAGAAAAGCTTCCTTCTTGATGCTAATATGAAGGTAAATTCCGGGCACTCTCCATACCTTTTATTTATGTCAGCAGAGTTTTTGCTTAAATCAATCTCAACAAATGAGCAGTTTCCAATGCTTCGGCTGCTATCTCTGGACATGTGTGATGCAAAGGAAGGTAGCTTCGATGTCCCAGAGGTATAAGTAATAACAGAGAACACCATATGATATAACCTTCTTTGTAGCTTTAGATGGAAACAAAGATTCACATGCGGCAAAGAGTAAGATACTTTTGGTCATAATCGTCAGATATATTTGTTGTTTATGGAGTGGCAGGAGAAAGAAGGAGGTGGCTTCCTAAGCATAGTGAAGATCAGTAGATGCAAGTCCGAGAGATGCGCTCTGGGAAGAGTCTTGGCTCCTGTGCATAGAGAGACGCTGGTTATGTTATGGAATGGCCAAAACCTCACTAAAACGCTTATCAAACAAAGACTTTGATTTACCACTCTACAAATACTTTATGCTGTTGTGTGTTATAGTTGGTTGGTATATAAAGCTGAAAGATTTTTAATTCCGAATAAAAAATCAAGTCCGATTAGTCCTTCGATGTAGTTGTCGGTTAAATAAATATACAACTTGACGGTATTGAATGCTGTTGATCGCATATAAAACGTGTAATGATAAAGATTAAAGAATACCATACAATACAAAACAAACGAGTGATATCATTTTCAAAAAAGTAGATTTGTATTTTTCTAATTGATGCTCCCATCCCATTCAAGGAAGTACAGAAATGGTGAGAGATTGTATTAAAAATGCTGGTTATAAAAAAAATCAGTAAAATAAATTGGTAATTACAGTGTTAGTTGAACTAACTTAGTTCCATACAGCTTTTTAGAAACGAACTTGGGATTTCAATAAGATGTTTGACAATAATAGAAGAAAAAGTCAACATACCAGTTGTTAATTTTTGTTATCGAGCGTAGGTTTTTTATTTATTTAAAATATTTGATAAGTCGTTTTCCAAGATTTTTCTAAAGATTTATCTTATATAAAATAAAATTAAAGAAAACCTTGTAAGAGAGCTAGATTAGAAATTCAGGATGTTACCGTTTTACTTACAAAGTTACAATTGATATTGACAACAACAAAAGAAAAAGAAAAACAAGCAGTTACTACGTACGTCTCTAACAATAGTAATTAAACGCAATAATAACAACAAAGTATAGTAATTAACGTTTGATTAATTATATATAAATATATAGGTGGTCGTTGGGCACAAATTAATATCTAATGTGGACAGCTTTTCATTGATGGATATGTATGTATGTATTTCTCGGACCATTTTGTGGGCACCTTTCGTTTAAATGTGTGTGTATATATCATCCATTTTAATTTCTTGTCTTGTGCACATACTAAAATTAAAGCCACATTTCCATGTCAGATCAACTAATCTTTTCATCTAACTTGACCAAACAAAAAAAACTATAATTGGTGTTTTTAGTTCAATCAGATTTTTTTTTTCTTATATGTTTTCCAAAGGATGAAATCTAGACTAACATCTGAGCATTTTAATAAGAACCGAAGAATGTTACTATTATTTAAATAATGCGTTTATTTGCGGTTCAATTATGTATGATTAAAGTTATAGTGTAATCATGGCTTGAACCCTACGTTCTTTTGTATATTACATTTTACAAGTTGCAATCCTCCGGAATATGATTCTGCTTAATTATATATACAGAACGTTTTTGTTTTGTTTTTTTTGGGTTAATTAAAGTGCTTATATGGAACTCGTTTCAGCTAATTCTTGCATATAATATATGTTCTCATATTCTTTAATGGAGAAAGTGAGATTCGAAACCCGAAAATACTGTCTTAGTGATTCCACAAGATGAATGGTTTGCCTTGCTTTAGAATATAATATATATTATGAGAAATATACTTTTACTCTTGTGAATGTTGTTGTTAGAATATGACGACCCAATAAATCTATGAATTAATTTGTTCTTTTATTTTTTCAGTAGCACCTAATTAATGTATATTTAGAATAATTTAGAGTTGGAGAAACGATATCAATACCTGATTAAAACACACCCCAAGCACAAAAACTTTAGAACTAATATATGGATCATAGTGTTTCCAAGAACGTGCATGATCCATATCGCATATCTGTTTATCACTGATCATGATTCATGAGGACACTAATATTATTCATGTAACGTGTAAAGAAAGTCTTTGAGGGTTTTGCCAGGGCAAATATGAATGTTTTCTTCTTCTTTTTTCTTTTGTCGGCAATGTGCAACGTTTTAACGTATGATATAAACCAACGTAACCGTCCATACACCTATAATATAGACCTATTTAAAAGCAAACGAATAAATATGATTTATAAAAACAAAATCGTCATAGGTGACGCCATACGTTACGTGTGCATGCATGTATTTGTTTTATAAATCAAACAAGTCAAGAGATGAAATAGATGTGTTGAATGATTCCATAACAAACTCAGATTGGATTATTCTATAATGAAAAGAATCACAGAAGATAAAATTCTTAATCTTGTTAAGGTTTGTGTAAATAAAAACTTGACCGTACAGGTGTAAAAAGAAAAGAAAATGAATCGACCAATCTGTTGAGCACATGGTTATGTACTCTCTCATGCAAATTCGTAAACAAAACAGACGCTCTAAATCTTTAAAAGATTTGGAATTTGATTATTAAAGTATTAGTATTAGTTTATTAATGATTGTGGTTATGATGGTGCCACAGATACATAATTATTTTGTATTAATTTGGAAAACGCATGGGGAATATAGCCAAGTTGGGAGGACCTTTGTCATGTGATGAGAATCCCTTACTTCATGGGCTGCTGTATCGATCTCTTATCTCTTCCTCCTTCTTCTTTCTCTTTCTGACCATTCGATCTTCTCATCGCCACCGCACGTTCATTGATTTTATATCTAATGATCCATCTATATTTGTATATTGTAGATCTCCCTAGGAATGAATGATTTTTACCCAAAATTGTCTTTTAACAATTTATTTTTGTTAAAACTAGCATTCAATTTTTCAACTACTATTTTATTTTATCCTCTTGGAGTTTGTCCATGTGAACCATAAATGTCATTGTATATAAAACTATAGTTTCTCTATATGAATTTCCAACTTCAATATTCAAAAAAAAAAGTAATATTCGTTCTAAATAATAGCATTGGAAATAAATAATTAAAAACGAATATTATTATTTATATATATGTGGATTCCCTTGAAAGTTTGAAATCTTCAAAAGATATGCTTTGTTTCCCAAGTTTAATGCATTGTATTTGATCGCATAGTTTTCTTTGGGAGTGTCTAACCACATATCTCCTCCTCTTATTTCTTATCATTGTATTTGCTACTTAAGAAGTAAACTCTAATATATAAATGGCTTTTATTAACAACGTAATTAATTTCGATTTGAAATTTTGTAATCAGGGTCAAACTAATGGATCAATTAAAGGTTAAAAGGTCAACGTGCGAATAATATTCAAAAGGCTGAGACACCTATTAAACGTATTCGAGCTGAGAGTAGGCACATCTTAAGTCATGTGTTTGTTTTTTTCTTGTCATTTAATTTTCAAGCTAACAAAAGAATTATCAAACAAAACAACAACAAGTATGCAATGGTTAATAAATGAGATGATAACGGAGCAATCCAAAACTACGCATCGCCGCCATCGGGTGTCCAAGGAAGATGGGCGACGACTGACTGACGTGTGATTACTTTTCCACGATGAATAGTCGCAAGGCACTTGTGTAGTAGTGTTACGGACTTTGACCCCATAGCAAATCTGATTGCTCAAATCTCATTTGTTATGAAGACAAAATAAGCAAAAGGAAAAAAAAAAGAAAATAGTTGATTTATTCAGACAGACGTACACCCGTATCACTATCATCATCATCAATTCATCATCATCATTCATTTTTGAGTTTTGTTTAAGAGGAAGTAATAAAATCTACTGAATTTTTCACTAATTGTTTAAAATCTGTGACAATCTTATTTTTTTAGTTTATCCCTAAAGCCTTTTGTTGTTTTCTGTTAGCAAAATTAATAAACTTCATCACTAATATCGTCATCACTTCACTAGTATTAATTAGCTTGTTGTGGTTAGTTTTCAAACAATTGTCACTAATGTGTTTAATTTCTGTGACAAATTATTTATAGTTTTTCCGTAAAGTCTTTTGTTGTTTTGTGTTAGCAAGAATAATAATGAACTCTATCACTAATATCTTCACTTCACAGTGTAGTAGTATTAATTAACTTGTAGCAGGTAGAGTAAAATTAGTAGTACATAGTCTCTTGATATTGGTTTTTAGCATTGCTTTAGTATTAAAAAGCTAAAAACACTCTAAAATACCTTATTTTTGTCTAAATCTTAATTAAAAGACTTTTTTAGTAATAAAACATATTTTCTATTTAATTTAATTATAGATTTAATCTAAAAACACCTTAAGATATTACTATCGAGGATGGTCTTGCTTTACAATAATCACCAGCATTAATAATTTAAATAATTAAATCCCATGTCCTGGTCAAACGACTTTGATCTTTCAAAAGAAAAGAAAACAATAATAATAATAATTCAAACTGATTTTTCATTTTCCTAATAAAAAAGATAATATCCTATTTATGACACAGCCAGTTACATCACTATGAATATGAACACATTGAATCTGTATATTAGTTTATTTTGATTAGACCATTACCTAAAAGGTCAGAAATATATTTATTTATTAATATATATGTCTTCTTCTTCTTCTTTTTTCTTCTTTTGAAAACTATTAATATATATGTCTAAAATTGCAAATCAACGAAAATAATGTGACTATCAATAATGAGATTGTGATATGTCCTTCTTTTTTTTTTTTGGAAACCATTGTGATAAGTCTTTAAAAAAGTAATAATCAATTTGTACAATCTGTAAAATATGTTTTTTTCTTCTTTATCTTAAAATCGTTGAATATTATCAGACAAAAGAAAACAGACAAATTAATAAAGTGTATAATGTTAAAAAAAAAGAAACCATATATTTAAACCCGCCTCTTTCTCTTCTCTTCTTCTTCTCTACAAAGTTTTTTTTCTCTCTCTCTCTCTTTCCTTTAAATGTTCGCCGGAAACGAATCGACCTGAGATTCAAATCTCGACATCCTTCCTCCTACCGGAGAAAAGAAAAACTCGTTGAGACGATGCTAGGACGAGACGAGGATCTTGTCCGAACAATGAGCGGGAGAGCTGGGAGTGTAGCCTCCACAAGTCACCGGAGTTTAGCCGAAGCTGCTTCAAGAAGCTTCAGAGATGTGTTCACTCCCCCTACGAACGACGTGTTTGGTCGGAGCGAGCGGAGAGACGACGATGACGTGGAGCTACGGTGGGCGGCGCTTGAGAGGTTACCAACTTACGATCGGTTAAGGAAAGGTATGCTGCCGCAGACGACGGTCAACGGTAAGGTTGGACTTGAAGAAGTTGACCTGACGAATCTTGCTCCTAAAGAGAAGAAACAGCTTATGGAAATGATTTTGAAATTCGTTGAAGATGATAACGAAAAGTTTCTCCGGAGA